TATATATATATATATATATATATATACACACACACACAAAAACAAACCATCAAGCAAGCAAAATAGGCAGACAGACACTTACTGGTTTCTGGTCATTAGATCTGATAAGGCAATTTAATTCATAGCCTCTCTTATCTACAGTGAACCCAACGCATTTTTCTTGCAGTTTTGTTTTTTATTTTGTTTTATCGTCTCCATTTTTGTTTCAGATATTATTATACAAGCATGCACACACACACATATATATACACACACACATGCACACACACACACACACACTAGGTGTATATGGACAAAAATGTTTTTGTTTTTACAAATTTGGTTAAAGACAAATAATAGTTAAGGACTTTTTTGTTTATTTTTCTGTATTTTGAACCATTTTTCAGGTAACAAATTGAACGTAAGTTGTTCAATATGTAAACACTTTTGACTTTCATAAGGCATTATAGAAACACTATACATAGATATAACGACAACATTATGAGCCAAAATCTATTTTTGATGGAAGCTGATAATACACAGACATTGGACAATTTATATTCAAATTTCTGCCAGAAAGCAAGAAAATGGACAGAAATACAGAAAAAATAAACTCAAACAAAATTTTGCTACCTATAAATCAAACTTATATATATAACTATAAGCATAAAGAAAACTGAAGTTGTCCATCAACCAAGGCTTACACCTAAGTAGGTTAAGGGTGTAAAACAAAAACCACCTGCCCATAATTTTCCAATCGTTCCCATTACTGTTCGCATCAACAACCTGAAATATGTGAAAATCATTCTCATACTTCGGAAGCAATGTCAATTCAAGTGTCTCTTTGGATAACAAAATTGTTAACCAAAAATGAAAGGCAACCAATGCCTTTGGGAAGCTTAAGCATCACCTGTGGGATGATCATGGGATTTATCGAAAAACGAAAAGTCTATCGAGCAGTCATTCTCACCACACTTCTTTATGGGTCAGAATTGTTGACGCCATACAGGACACACGTCAAGCAACTTGATGCTTTTCATAAACGCTGTCTTCGTTCAATATGCGGTTATACACGGCAGGACAAAATCTCTAATCCTGATCTTTTCATCAAATGTGGCATCAAATCCTTTCTAATGCAATCACAGTTCAGATGTCAGAGGTCATGTCATCAGAATAAGTGATGGTCGGATGCTGAAAATCCTCATGTATAGCCAACTTTTTCATGGTAAGCATAATGTAGGCCATCCTTGGTTATGCTTCAAGGACAAACCTAGATACAATTTAATTTTTGCAAACATTCCTACAGAGGGGTTTGAACTCGCTGTTGAAAACCAAGCAAACTGGAGAAACACCTGCTACCGAGGTATAACTAACTTTGAAAAGGAAAACCTTTTATGTGAACATGTTTTGTTCTTGGAAGAAACAAAATACTCAAAATTTCTCAACATTTTATGTACAACCATAAACGCCTAACTCCTGGCTTTAAAATAAATAAACGAATGAAAATAACTAATAAATTAAAAAATTCAATGACAAAATTAACTCACTTTTGCTTAAAATATCAAATATTTGTCATTTCGCATCTTACATAGCTTTCCATTTCTTTTTACTCAAGATACTGAGAGATTTTTTAATATTTATATTAATCTTAATGTTTTCAATTTCAAATTTGAACACATAACATTATGTTTCTCAGTGTTAACTTTTCCATGTACATAAATACAAGTTTCTAAATAAAAAGTCAACATTTGCCTTTCCTAAAATTCTTTAAAGAATGAAACATTTTGTGATAAATGGTTTTTCCTCTTTTATGTTCCTTTTTATTAATATTATCTTTACAGATATATTTATTCATATCTGAATTTAAGTATGGAGGCACAATGGAGTAATGAATTGCAGCTTGGATTAAGGAACTCTTACTTACTCTTGGGATAGATATGAATCAATCATTTCTCCCTGACCCAGTCAGTCAAAGTGATACATGCTTGTATCTTTCAATACATGACTGATGAGGTAGAAGATTTTTCCCACAGTAGGTTGCCATTTCTTTCTGCGGTAGACTGGTTGCCAACCAAGACTAAAGAATCCAATCTGTCCTGCTATTTAACACATAGCTGGGGTGAGAAGAGATGGATTCATACCTTTCCCGAGGTTATTTGTGCGTAAGTAAATATAACAAACTGAAATGGAATTCGAACTTGAGTTCTCATCCCAAGCCAATAGCTATGTTTAAATCCAGCTATGTTTAAATAACAGGACAGCCTAGGTTCTATAGCCTTGGGTGGTAATTTGTCTATGTGAAGGATAAGAAGGATAAACTCAGAATTCAAAACTTCCAACAGTCTGGGCCTGTAGCCATGGTTGGCAACCAGACTAGGAGAAGGACAACTTTAGAATAATGGTGTGCTGAAAAGTTTTTTTTAAATAGAAAGACACCCACTCAAATTCCAGCCATGCTCAACATGCGAAGGTTCGGAATAAACACTCCTACTAGTATTCAAAAAAACACAAAAAACATCATCTTAAATGGTAAAAGCATGAAGAGAAACTAACAACACCTAAACCTCTTGAAAAGAAAATGGCTAAGGAAGTGGTTGAAAGCCCTTGGGACAATGGACAGTATGGACAGTTTTTGTGCTCACTTCCACTAAATGGAAAAATGTAAGAATGCTGTAAAAACTAAATAAAAAAAATCCATCATATTTAACAATATATATATATATATATATATGGGAGAGAGAGAGAGAGAGAGACACAAAACATCTAATACAATACCATACATAATTAACATAGAAATAGCTATATGGTGAAACATTGTACATTACATGATTTGTGTATTTCTCTAGCTGAGTCTGGCAAAATGCTAGAAATGTAAGGCACCCAATTCAGAACACATTCACTGCACAGTAATCGTTTACTAGTCTATATGTTTTTCTAAAATGGATACTAATACTTCTATTACATGTGCGTATCATAGTAGGCACCCACTAATGCCTCATTGTCCCAGACTAAAGAATTAAATTATCTAACAATAGTACAACATAATATAGTTATCTAGTTATATAGATATATTGTGAGATAATAAGAACAACAGTACTAATAAGAGGGAGTGTGCTGAAAACCTCTCTTCCCTGACTCCCCCAAAAATCTGCTGCTTAGTCAGATTCAAGGAAAAGGGCTAAACTGAAAACTTTTCAGCACCCAACTCCTCATGTATATGGGATAGAGATTTTTTATGTGTATCAAATCTAGTGGGTTGCAGTCTGGAGATAATAGGTGCTCAATATATATATATGGATATTGACATTCTTACAACATCTCGCCAACCAGATATGTAAATATGTATACACACACATATATATATATATATATATATATATATATATATATATATATATATATATATATATATATATATATATTGACATTCTAACAACATCTTGCCAACCAGATACATAAATATGTATATACACATACACATATATATGTGTGTGTGTATATATATATATGTATATATATATATATATATATATATATATATATATATATATATATATATATATATATATATATATATATATATATATATATATAGGATTGGTGTAGATGGAATAAATTCCAATAACCAAAAATACTATTCTTAAGAGTAGAGCAATATTATTTATTCAATTTTTGAATAAATAATGCACATATAAATATATATATAAATAGATACATATATATATATATATATACACACATAACTATATATATATATATACACACACACACAAAAATATATACATATATATATATACATAAAAATATATATATATATATATATATACACACATAAAAATATATACATATATATATATATATATATATATATATACACACACAAAAAAATATATAAATATATATATATATATATACACACATAAAAATATATACATATATATATATACACATAAAATATATACATATATATATACACATAAAAAATATATATATATATATATATATATATATATATATATATATATATATATATATATATATATATATATAAAATAGATACTTATTATTAACACCCAACACTCACCTACCTAATTTAAACAATTCGCCCTAGCTGTTACCATGGAAATTTTGATTTCAATTTTTAATACACGTAAATTTCAGATATACGTTATTCCAAAAAAAAATTTCGCTTGAAGATGGAACAGAGCTTACTTTAACTCAATTTAATTTAAATAATTTAAATAATTATATTGAAGTTTTCGGCTCTTGTTTTGAAACATGAGACTTCTTATGTCGCGTTTTGGAATCATATTTTAAATAAATAATTATATTTATGCTCTACTTTTGTATCGAGCACTATTTTTTAAAAATAATAACTAAAATACTAAGGAACTTTGGATTATTTACCTAACCAGTTCCTTCCTATTTTCTATATATTTCCCCCACCACATATATATATATATATATATATATATATATATATATATATATGTGTGTGTGTATCCATTTTTTATGACTATAAACATATTTAGTGTGAGTAGACATCTCTCTTCATTTTTTTTTTTAAAACAGTGAAATCAATATATACTGGACAAGAGCTCAAAAGTCATATTAAAAGAAAATGTGCCTCTCAAGAGGAATCAATTTTGAATTCCCTTTGATCTGGGGGAAAAATCCATTAATTGCTTTATCCATTAATTAAAAAATCCATTAATTGCTTAATCCATTAATTAAAAAAGACATTAATTCCTTAACCCATTAATTAAAAAATCCATTATATCTGCAATTTGTACACTATTGAAATTGAAAAATATATTGTTCCTTCTTATCACCTCAATACATTATAGTACATTATATAAGCTGTCATATAATAGGCAAGATGTACTATAAGACTATTAACTTATTAACTTTCATGGTACTGTGTGTGAGTGTGTGTGTATATGTGGATGCTCTTATTTTTTTTTTCAACAGCTTTGTTGTTGTCCACATGTTTATCATTGATGTCTGGAAGTTGCAGGCATTCAGAGTGGCACCTTATTTTCTTTGGCCCATTTCTTCATTGTGCGGGTCATCAACTCCACTTGAGGGTTGCTCATGTTCCCCAGCATCTGCAGAATTTCTGCCAAATGATCTCTGCAATAGTAATCAATTCCGAACATTTCCTCAACAACTTCAAAAACTTAAAAATCAAGACAATTCATCAGACAATTCTATTTCAAATCTAAAAGATGGGGCATCATTTCCAGAAAACTTTTGTGTCATCAATATTTTATAATCTCCAAAAAAAAAAAAAAAAAAAAAAAAAAAAAAGATGTCAATATTTTTCTGGTTTATAAATTAAATGTCAATTAACTTCACATCCTTAAAATTATTTTTACCACTTGTCTGTCAATATTAGTAGTATTGACAATTTCATTAAATTCATTATTTGAATTTGCTGAAAAGTAGAAAAAAATATCTATGTAGATAATATTGCTTGTATGAGGGGGTGCTGAAAAGTTCCCAGCCCAACCCACTTCCTGGAATTAGTATTCTGATCTTTAGTCATTAAGAAAGTGAGTTAGTCAAGAACTTTTCAGTAGCCTCTCGTACATCTCTGTATTTTGTGATGGTCTTGATAAAAACGCTAGTGAATTGGTCTCCAGTTTTCAGTCAGCAAGATTCAAGTTTGCAATCATTTTTTATGGAAATTGGCAACATTAATAAATATAAAAGATTAAATAATCTAGTAATATGCAGGTGCTGAAAAGTTCTCAGCCTGACACACTCCACTAAATTTGGCCAAATATCTTTTTATTTTTAAATCTCTTCTTCAAGAACATTTTAGCACCCTTCCCTCACACTATTTTAACCAACTGATGCCGACCAGAAAATCTAGTAGGAGTTAAAAAAATAGATATAAAAATCTGGTATGAATGGTGAAAATAACCGTTTCCATAGAGGAAACATTCAGCATTCTTTGCATGAACAGTTAGTGATCCTGTTGGTTAAAATTTATAAAATCTTTCTCTTAAAATTGTTTTTCTTATTTGGTTAGGCCCTTCTTTTGTGATTTTGTCAGCCCAGTCTATAGAATTTGATGACGTCAATCACGTTAACAGCTTGATTATATCATTATTTTCTCCTCTTTTTACATGCAAGGCTTATGACCATTTCATGTTGAAACATCGGTTTCCATATGATCACCAGAGTTAAGCAACATCAAGCCTGGCCAGTACCTAGATTGGGTGACCACTTGGGAATACTAGGTGCTGTAAGCTTGGATGTGCGGGTGGTGTAATGGATAATGGCTCAGAATTGGAAATCAGAGAGTCAAGTTTCAATTCTAGTTGGGTTTGTTATATTCACTTACATGCAAATACCCTCAGGAAAGGTAGGAATCCACCTCTTCTCCCCCCCCCAACTATGAGTTAATTAGTAAGACACATATCAGTAAATCATTATTATTGCAAAAAAAAACCAAAAAAAACAACACAATTCTTATAATCTAAAAATATTTTCTGTCTTTGAATGGCCTGCAAAGGGTTGACAAGCCATAAAAAATGAATGAATCAATCAATCAATAATAGTTACATGTGCTAAAGCCAGAAAATGCTTTAAAATTGAAATAATTCTTTTTGGAGGTAATAATGATATACTAATACAAGTCTTACTAATTAACCCTTAGATGGGGGACTAGAGCTGGATTCATACCTTTTTTGATAAGTGAATATAACAAACCCAATTAACAATTCCAAATCATTATGCATTACACCACCCACATCGTCCAGGTTTACAGCAGCTGGTTTTCCCAAGCAGCCATCCATCAACGTACTGACTAGGCTCAGCATTGCTTAACTTGGGTGATTGTACAAGAATCAGTGTTTCAACATGAAAATGACCATAAGCCCCCCCCCCATTTTTAGCTGTTACAAATATTCAGCTTACAAACGTAAACAACACGAGTTTTTGAGAAAATAAATGAATGAGCTCAGACCAGGCAAAGGTTTTTTTTTTTTTGATAAGTGCTATAATTCAAAATCATTTCCTCTAGGTTACTTGATATAGATTAGAATGCATTCTGGATGAAACTGAGGATAATCTAAATCCTCCCCGACATTCTGAAACAACAAAAAACAAGGTGTAAAGGAATTTGCTTACTTTGGTTCACGTCCAGCAATGACTTGTTGAAAGACTCCAATGCAGGCACCTCTTTTACCTTCCCAGTACTCAGGGTTTGGGTCAAGTCGCTCCAATACATGAAAGGCTTTTGCTGCATAATAAAACTGACCCATCTGAGAGTGAAAAAAATAAAATAAAATAAAAAAAATATGATAAACATTTGCATCAGGTAAAATATCGCAGTGCAGGAGAATGCTATTTAGTCACTGCTCTTATTTTCTGATAATGTCATGTATGGTCATCCATATTTACAAAAAGAAGCCAAGTTTATACATTCATAAAAAAAATTCAAAATTATTTTTAACATCTTGGTTTTTGATGATTTTTATTAAGCTTTTCCATTTATGATTAGTAAATACATGCATTTAATAATATCATCAAAATCGCTGAATACAGAATTTTAAAAAATTTAAAAGCTTAATAAATTTTTCTAATTAAAATTTTTAAAAAATGAAAACAATTCTTATAAAAATTTTTTTCTCAAGAAAAATATATCCTTTATATATCTCATTTATAAAAGCAATTAAAAGCTTTTCTAATTAAATAATATCATAGCAATAATTGCATTTTTTACTTTACAATTCAGAACAGATTTTCAGTAAATACTGTTTCTCTTTGACAAAAACAAATTGATGATTTAAATTCTCCAAGGAGTCCTGCTTTTAACTAATATAAATAATATAAAAATCCTGGAATTTTAATTTCATAAAATTAATTAAATGGGAGTTAACAGATGTAAAAAAAATAAATATTTTTACTAAAATTTTATAAAAAAAATATTTCCAAAATAATTTCATTCATTTGTAAATCAGTTCTGAAAATTTCATTAAAATCTGACACTTATTTGAATTTAGCATGAATTTTCAAAACTGTGTTTTTTACCACAAAAAAGATGCTCAATTTCCCATACTAATCTTTGGCCTACCAGCTGATGCAAAAAAAAAAAAAAAATTTTTAACCAAAATTTTAAGCATGCTAGAAAGCATTAAAAAATATAATAAAACACACTTTGGTCTTTCCTCTTAACAATAACAAACATTTTGATGATAAAACTTTGTTTTTATTAAGTTTGGGGCCTTTTTCATCATGCTATTCTCTCTTTGAGAAAATCTTTGGAGGTACTTTAATTATAGTGTTCTAAAAACAGTTTCCCAAGTATCTGATGACATTAACATTCCTGATAATGACCCAAGATGGTCAAAAGTACTTGAACAAAAACCTGAACTTTGGATAGTTTTTTCTGTGAATTTAATCCAGATGTGTGACAGTTTATATGCAAAGAGGAAAATGTAATGAAAATTAAGCAGACAAAGTTTATCACTCAATTTCAATAAAAAACTGAATGAATTCATGTCATGTATGTTTATATATATATATATATATATATATATATATATATATATATATATATATATATGAAATTTATCTGCTAGTCAATCCTGGTACAGCATTAAATTGAGTAGTAGATTTTGATTACCATTTTAATATTGTGTTAATATTATTTATTATAATATAGTTATTTTGATGACTTAGGCATTGAGTCCTCAATTTATTTTACATTTTAAGTTTTTACATTATTTTAAGCTTTAGCTTATATTTTATTATTTGTGTGTGTGTGTATATATATATATATATATATATATATATATATATATATAAATCCAGGTTTTAAATGAGCAGCTCTGAATAGAATCTTCCCTAAAAAACAGCCTTCTGGGATAAAAGTGCTCTATGCCACAAGAAACGGCAGAGCTTTTGAATATTAATTCAAATAACCAGGTCAGCAACAATGACTGGCCACTACTATTAGTTTCATGTGCTTTTTACATGATCATCAGGCAGCCAGTGACTTGTAATAAGATGAATACCCTATATACAACTGGGTAAGTTCAATTTGACAAACCAACCAAACCCACATGGTTGAAGGGAGGTAGATCATCTAGCAAAGGTCTAAAATGGCAAAAAACAAAACAAATGTTTCCCACCTGTTGTTTGCCATTTTTTAAAATCTTCAGACACACTGGGTTGTAGATTAATATTCTTTCGTTTTTTTTATTATTATTTCATTTAGATTCCTCGACTAGTTTCGACCAAAATGGCCATCATCGGGAGGAGAAATATTTCTGCTTGCTGGTAGCAGTAAACTACAGAAATGAATGTCTTGATGGAGAAAATGAACTTTTGTCTGTAGTTTTCATTTGTTTTTTTTATTTTTTATCTTTTTAACATGAATCTTTTAACATTCCTTGTGTTGGTCAAACAGTCTTTTTTAAGTTGTTATTTGAGATAAGAGCTGGATGGATACATGCTGCTCTGAATTCCCGTGGTCATTTTGACAGTTTTATTGGTCCTGGAGAGGGGATGTGTCTCTGTTTAGTGTTTGTGTGTGTGTTATTTGGTTCTTAGTGAGTGATTATGATATGTGTAAGTGTGTGTATTGCTGTGGGTGTGTGTTATCATTTGGCTCATTAGGGAGTGAGTGAGTATGATGTGTGTAAGTGTGTATAAGTATGAGGCTTCCACACCTCCGTAAGCATGTCTGTCTTGTGTGGGTGAGAAATGTGGGTAGGTTTTGATTTGTTGAGTTATATATTAGTACTATCTATATTGTTAAATTTATGGTTTAGCCTGGTTGGATATTGTGTTTTTAGACGTATCCACTTATTTTCATGGTACTCTAAAATCTTTCGAATGTTATCTGCTCTCTCTCTATATATATATATATATACAGATCCTCCAACCACCTTCTGCAACATAAATGTGGAAAAAATGAGCATAACAGCCTTATTCACTTGCAAAAACGGTTACAAATAATGGAAGCATTAATAATAAAACAGAAGCTAGCTCTCAATAATATCAACTATGAACACGGCCACAACATGCTGACCATATTCTTAAATTAAAACCATTCTCATTCCTACATATACAAAATCTACATATTCAGTTAAACATCCTTGATAATGGCTAACAGATTAGATTTGGATCTACAAATAATTTTTCAGTTTTTACACACTATGTCCAGAAAAAAAATCACTTGTACGAATGCAAAAAAATTTAATAAAAAGCTTAATCATAGACTTGTCTGTCATCTTCAATGAAATTTGTAAAAAAGAGGAATAAGTGTTCACATGTACAAATGTGCAATATATATATTATTTTAGTATATTTAAACATGTTAAAAATCACTATATATATATATATATAAGTATGTGCATACATGTTTATGATGCATAAGGTATCCAAACAGATTGAACAATTGGTAGAAGGAACATTAATAAGATGACCAGTGAATTCACAACAATGAAACTGTTGTCCAAATTTTAGATAAATTTTGGTAGATTGCAATATGAATTAAGAATTACATTTTCACTTATAAAAACCAGACAATATTCCCATATTTCCTATGTCAACCAGTGTGTGTGTATGGGGGGAGTGTTAATACAAAATCATTTCTACACCAGTTTGTGTGTGTCTGTGAATTAAAGATATGCCTTTGTCTTTACCTTATAGCAATCATTTGCAACAAGCTGCAACAAACTAAAAGATTCACCAGACGTTTCCATTTTCAAATACAATTCCCATGCATGTCGAGGCTTACTGTTCATGATAACTGAAGAAAAAACAACATGGAAGTAAAACAAATATTCCATGAGAAAAAGATTTAATTTTATTAACTTTAAATGTTTCTTTTATTGGTTGGAAGGATTTTGAATTGGACATTTACAATTAAATGAACACAGAACCAAATGGAACATTCAAGTTGATGTGAATTTAATTTTAATGTTTTTTTCTCATTTTGGTGATTGGATTTTAGATTTATTACAATTTAGTTTTAACAATTCAAATCTTTTGAAAACATAATGAAATAAGGAAAGAATGACGTTCTTACAACATCTGGCCAACCAACTGAGGTAGACATAATCCCGTTTCAGTTTTTCATTCTGGATCATACAAAACACCTGTGTAAACAAAATGTCCAAAGGTTAATGGGTAATTGCAGGAAATCACAGGTAACTAAAGACAGTATGAAAATATTTGCTTTCTATTTGTCCAGAACTTTTGTCTCAGCTGTAATTCTCTTTATTATGTGTGTGCGTGTGATATATATATATATATATATATATATATATATATATATATATATATATATATATATATATATACACACACACACACATAAATATGTGTATATATATATATATATATATAAACACACTCATAAACATATGTATGTGTATATGTATATATATCTTATGAAATGGAAAAACAATTACTTTAAGACATTTTTTCGTTTTATACGTTCTTTTTATAGATACAAATATTTAAGTAAATGCTCTGTTTATAATAAAAAGTAATAACATTTACCAGCCTGAATGTCCAAGAAATTTTCATAGAAAATATGCATCCTCCAACAGGAATAGAACCTGTATCCTGTACGGAACATATACACACACATAAAATATATACATGTATATATATATATATAAATAAAATATATGCACATATACACATATATATATAAAATATATGCACATATACACATATATATATAAAATATATGCACATATACACATATATATATAAAATATATGCACATATACACACACACATATATATATACATAAAATGGGTAAAATAGCAGGACAGACTGGGTTCTATAGCCTTGGATGGCAACTGGTCTAGGAGAAGGACAACTCTGAATTCAAAACCTGCGGAGGATCGTTTGGGAACCTTGTGGCATTCGGTGCACCAGGTCTCTGTATTCGTCCCTTCAAAAAGTGTGGATGGTCCTGCACGAGGCCTTCACCATTATAATCAAATCTCATGTGCCGGTGTCGGGCTGTCGGTTTCCTGGAAACTGATCTGCTTGACCCTCATACGTCGAATCTCGACGGGAGAGTTGATTATTATATATTTATATATATATATACACATAAAATATACACATACATATATGTATATATACACATAAAATATACACATACATATATGTATATATACAAAAATATACATACATATATATATATACATAAAAATATACACATATATATATATATATATACATAAAATATACACATACATATATGTATATATACACATAAAATATACACATACATATATGTATATATACACATAAAATATACACATACATATATGTATATATACACATAAAATATACATACATATATGTATATATACACATAAAATATACACATACATATATATATATACACATAAAATATACACATACATATATGTATATATACACATATATATATATATATATATATATATATATATATATACACACACACACATAAAATATACATATATATACATAAAATATACACATACATATATGTATATATACACATAAAATATACACATACATATATGTATATATACACATAAAATATACACATACATATATGTATATATACACATAAAATATACACATACATATATGTATATATATACATAAAATATACACATACATATATATATATATATATATATATACACATACACATAAAATATACATATATACACAAAAATATATTATATATATATATATATATATATATATATATATATATATATATATAAAATCTTTCTGTACTTACTTCTTCTGCTTCTTTGAAGTTACCATTAGCTGCTTTTGCTTGGGCATAATTAAAGTTGAAATTGTCATCATTGTAGAAATAACTCTAAAAAATACAAGCAAAATGCCGTAGAGTCACACAAATGCTTCTTGGAATATTTGTGTTCAATCAAATTGTAGACTAAGCAACAAGAGGAGCTTAAGCAAGAACATTCATTCTGGTAGGATCTTTCATATTCTTTTTAATTCAGGTGTTATTTTGAAATGCATCTTTGGTTTCATTTTTAACCAGCCTCTCAGGAAGGGAAGAAAAAAACACTCCCACAAGTTTTTTTACAGTTTTTATTTCCGACCTAATAATCATACTTCCAGCTAGATAATTGAAAATAAAATCTTTTTTCTCTTCATAGAATCAACTTGAACAAGTACAAATAATGAAATACACACATGTGCTAAATATCAATAAAAACAAAGGGAAAACTTATCTTAGTTGACACATTTCGTCTTCTGAGTATAAGTTTTCCTTTAGTCTTTATTTATATTTTCCTTTTACAGATATATTTTTAGTTATGTCTGAAATTATATATATATATATATATATATTCGATTTATTTATTACAAGTTGTTATATACGGACAAACAAGTAATCACTACAAAGATGTATATTTGTTTTGTTTTGCTTTTTTGTATATATTAGATTTATTTATACTTATTTTTAATTTTATTATTTTATTGTTTTATACTAGTTTTTATTTTTATTTATTTTACATTTAAAAAAAGCAAACTGTAAATAACACGGACCAATATATAGTAAAATTGAAATCATGCAATGATCAGTTTGAATCAACATCTGAAGATTCTGTTGTGTATGAAACTCACAGTTGTGCTACCAGTGAGGAAAAAAAAAACATATATATATGTATATAAAAATATAAAATTAAATATATTATTTAAAATTTACTATATTTGCAGGGGAGGAGAGCTTAATATTGGAGATAGGCTATTTATAGATACACTGTGGATGGTGACTGTCAGTTTCATGCCTAAATGCAATCTTCAAGTTTACAATTTGCTATTTTTATGGGATAAGATTGCTCAGCATAGGAGCTAGAGCATTTGCAGATAGAAACATGGTCTGAAAATTTCTAGACACATGAATAATCTATATGGGATTTATCTACATATTTTTATTCATATATATATATTGACTGTAAGTCCTATGTGGCGGAGTGGTTCAGTGCATCAGATCCAATGACGGTTCCCCATATGGAATGCAGGTTTGTATCATACCAGAAGATGCATATTTTACTGACAAGATTTCTTGAATATTCAGGCTGGTAGATGTAGTTGGAAAAAAATACCATTTAATTAAAAAACAGAGCTTCTACTCACATATGAGTATATGTCAAAAATAACGTTTAAACAAAATAAATTAAAAATAACAATATGTTGGATTTTTAATCCATTTCCTAAAAATATATATATATGTGCCAGCTAAATTTTCATATTTTGACTGTGGCTGCTTACATTAGCTTTGTTTAAATATCCTTGGAAAGGGCATGAATTCACCTTTTCCTGAACTATCTACACAGTCTTTTCTATCACTTTCACTCCTTGTATCCCCCCCCACCGCCGCATACTAGTGGCATTCCTGATTTGCTTGGGGTGAAATGATTAAAAAAAAAAAAAATACCCCATTGCTAAATATCTTGGTAAAAATGTCTTATCGCTTTGTGATGGCTGATGATAAAGAGAATGGAACAATGAGCACTTGGATAAACCACTCTGTCGTAATTACTGCCCAGGCAGTAGTAACAGTGAAAAGCTGTCACACCCATTGTCATCCATGACATAGGATAATTAAATAGTTCTGCAATCAGCGTCTGAAAAGTTAGGAAATGGCTGAAAAGTCTAATAATATTTATGCTCGTAATTATTTCCTTTTTCCTAAATGAAACTTAGAAAAACAGAGGTTGGTTTTAATTTAATAAATACAGAAAGTAAGACAGATTAACAAGACAAGTTCCAATATATTTGTGACTTCTTTTTTTTAAAAAAAAACTAACAAGGAAACTTACTTTGATTGAATTCAAGTAGAGTAAAACATCTTGAAACTGTTTTAATAGAAAGAAACATGAAGCCATACACTGTCGACCTGGAATGGTGTCTGAAAGGAAAAAGAAAAAAAAACAAGATAAAAATACATGACTGAAGGGTCAAGCATTGCCTTGTCAAATGTTCTTAATAAACACAACAATGTCTTTCTATTCAGTATTTCATTTGCAATACACATTGTTTATGTTTGTCTTTTTTTTACTGAAAATTTACTTAGTCACAATGTGACTTTGTGAAGAGATTGACTGGATGTGCATTCTTCAAAAGGGTAATTCAACCATGCTCAGCTGTGACACCCTCTGTGGCTGAGTGGTCTAAAGTGCACCAAATCAGAGAGTAGCTTCACCTATAAATGGGAATGCCAGTTTGAACGTTGCCAAAGAGCACATTTTCTTTATTAAGGCTCTTGAATGTGCAAGCTGGTAAGCATAATACACACTGTTTAAAAAAAAAAAAAACAGGGCATCTACTCAAACATGGTAGCCAAAAACTAACATTTGTAGTATTAGCCAATAATGTCAGATAAAAAATTCAATGATTTCTTAAAAATTACTTTATGTTTCAGATAAAAAAAAAGAGCAGTAGCCATAAAATAACATTTAGAGTAGAGTGTGAATTTAAGCATACTACTCAATTGGCAAATAGGTTTTACCATTTTAATGTTGAACTAGCCAGAGTTGTAACTGCAGATTCTATTCTAATAGTCTCCTTATATTCCTTGCCTGTGGAACTCTTTTCCAGTGTTTTGCTTCCCTGCTACCTACAGTCTTCAAAAATTTAAATTCAATGCTAGTCATCATCTGTTTTCCTGAGTCCTGTTCTTTTATTGTCCTTTCTCCTCACCAAATTCTCTTCTCATTCTCTTTCACTCCCAGTATTCCCTTGTGTCTTAGTAGCATTATCGCCTTACTTGGGATGAAATGATTTTATAAAAAAAGAAGAAAAGGAGATGGAGGAATCATAAAAGAGAATTTATTAACTTCATTAATCAAACTTTTCAGGGTCTCATATTTAACCTGCTTGACAAGCCATTTCTTTTTTCTTTTTAACTGTTTCACCCCAAGCAAGGCAATAATGCCACCAGAATGCATGTGGTTACAGGAGAGAAGGTGAAAGAGAATGAGAAGGCTGAAAATGGGGAGAATTGAGGAATGGACAAAAATGGAACAGTGTTCCAAGTAGATGGCGATTGACATTGCATTTAAATTTTTGAAGATTGTAGTTATCAAGGAGGCAAGAAATTACAAGGAAATTCCATAAGTGAGAACAACAAGAAAAGAAACTCTTAGAAACAAATTTTTCTTAAATGTTGCTCAAATGAGGTCCAATGTAATGAATAAACACTAATTTTTTTTCTGTCAAATTTTTATTGAGCAATCATTGGTAATATCAATTCATTTTCCTTTGTTACCAATTTATATTGAACTGTAATCAATTCAAGAGGATTTTTTTTAAATTACAATTCAGTTAAATAATCAGATGTGGAAAATAATCATGTTTGTATTTCATTCAACTGCAATGGTTGTTAGTTGATTGGGTTTTTTTTTGACGGTTTATCAACTCTTTGTGGGTTATTTAAAGCCAAAACATATTTTGAAATGTAGAATAATTCTTTAATCTATTGATGATTTTATTTTTGAGAATAACAATAATTTTTCCAAAATCAAATCCTACTATTTAACTTATAGATGGGGAAAGATGGATTCATGCCTTTCCCAAGTGCATTTGAGTGTAAGTGAATGTAACAAATTTGATTGGAATTTGAAATCAGCTCCCCAATTTCACATTCCATTACACCATCCACACAATTTTCACTAAATTTCCACTGAATTTTAAGATTACAAAAGCTGATTCAGCAAATAAAAGAATACTTATTCCAGATTTAAATGTTCACAATAAAAAATATTGAAAAGAGCTTATATCATTTTCTATAATAGTCTGGTGATGGGGGAAGCATAATTAAATATTTGAATGCATATATGCCCATCTTGTTTGGTTAGGTTAAGTCCCTGGGTTTAACAACATTTCAACCTATGCTGGGTTATTTAATGTTGAATATAAGTCTCATGGGTTAAAAAGGTAGAAACAGGTTTATATTCTATTCAAGAAGGTAGACATGGGTTGGATTTAAACACAAATCTCTTAGTATCCATCCAGAAGCTGGCTTCTTTTGACAGGGACTGTTTACCCCTCTGTAAGGAATGTAGTGGATGTATTCTAAGCCCTGCTAATAGGTTAGTCCTCATCTTTGTTGTCATCTCTAATAACAATTGTATCCACATTTATTTTTATAAAGGCTTTACTCAAAAATAGCCAACTACTTTTTTCCCCATGACAATAGCAATGGCTCCTTTTTGTTCTGACTTTTTTCACATTACAATTGGAATTTTGGTTCAGTTTAGTTTGTTTAAAGGCATATCAAACTCCATATGCAAAATTTAATTTTCTTGGGAGCTTTGGTAATTTTTTTTCAAAAATATATTGTTGGTAATTTTTCTTTTCCTTTTCCAATAATGTATTGCAGGTAATTTTTTTACTATAAAAATGTATTGCTGGTATTTAAATTTTTGAAGATCATGTTTTAATATATTTTTATAATTTCATAATGTTTTGACCACAGTTTTTTTTCACTATTTGCCCATAGCTGGGACCCAAACAGGTGCTACCACCCTAGGTCAGGCTGAACTTGGAAATAGCAGCAATTAAGAGGTAGTTCCATACTCCTTAAAATCTCCAAATTTGAGGCCTTGCTGCCAGATGTAGTTTATTGTTATACCCAGGACAATGGAATTTTGGCCACACATTTTAATTATGATAACAACATAGAAGAAAACTAGTACCTTTTTTCCCTGCCTTCAATTTCTATTAAGCCATCGTCAAAGATATTAACACGAGACACTCTTTCGTTTGTGAGATAACTTGTCACCATCTTTCTTTTTTTTTCCTTGTCTCCCCTTGGAAAAACATTCTGAACCACAATGCAGTTGACACTGTGATAAAAAAAATGTTTCTTTTTTGGTCTTCACATCAAAATTTATACCACTTTTGCACATTCAGGACTCTGATATGTTTCGAACTAAGTTTTCTGCCACACACATCAATAAGTCCGTAGCTTAATGATGAAAGAAGCAGTTATTTTACATAACAAATACTTATTTTTCAGCATAATCTTCTTCCTTGTCAATGCACTTAACCCAACACTCCTCCAAAGATCACAGATTGAACATTATATAATAAAAATTTCAGATCTAAATTCAACTTATGGTCAGTTATAGACTTAATGATTCAACCTCTAATGCTTCAATATAGATAAGACTCAGCTCTTTCTATAGGTCCACATGACCCTTAGCTTCCAGTCTCTTTAGCTTGTAATGACACATTAAAGATATGAAAAACCAATTTGTTTTAAAATTGACTCTTGGAAATTGGATGCCAGAATTTGCTGCCAGTTGCAGGAACCATTGTATAATAATGCAAAATGTTTTAATAGCATCCTCACCCAATGTTATCAAATGATATTTCAATCACCCAATGCTATCAAATGATATTTCAATCACCCAATGCTATCAAATGATATTTCAATCACCCAATGCTATCAAATGATATTTCAATCACCCAATGCTATCAAATGATATTTCAATCACCCAATGCTATCAAATGATATTTCAATCACCCAATGCTATCAAATGATATTTCAATCACCCAATGGCCAAAACATGGTCTTATGACTACCCTATCTCAAAGTAATCCGATTATGAAATACAATCATTTTTGCTATAATGATTCACTAACTTGATTTACAAACTAAGTTATAAAGAAATGTGTTTAATAAGGAGAGTAAAAACATTTTGGTTGTTAGTGAGGTTGCAAGGTACTGACCACATTCACTAGCTGAGCCTCCTACCAACTGGAAATACTGCTGTGCAATTTTGAGATGTTCTCTCTGTAAAGAAAGGAAACAAGAATATTTAAAATTTGATTTGAAAACAAAGTGCTATATATTTAGAGATGCTTGGTAAAGGCCAGAGTAGAATCTACATTATTATCATATAACAGATGGCATTTTTGCTTCAGTTACGTTTTCATCACAATAACATAGCTTCCCTGTGCCTTGTCTATAAATACTTTAAATGGTAATTATTCTGATGAACTTTAACCTTTGGTATCTTTATGAATTTAAGCACAGTAATAAATTGGCAGCTAGGTCTCATCATTTTACAGATGAAAATGCTTGATGTAACCATATGTTCTATGTTAACAGTTTCTTTTCTCACACTTCTCATCTGTGGGACTCTCTTCTGACTTCTTGCTTTCCAGTCAACTTTGCTCTTCAAATATCTAAAAACAATATCAATTGTTATCTTCTGTCTCCTTAATTCTAGTTCTTTTATTGTTCTCTTTCCTTAATAATGTTTTTTCTTTTTCACATATTCTTTTACACTCAGTAACACCTTGCATTTTTTATTGTCTTGTCTTGAAATGACTTAAAAACTATTTTTAATTTTAAAACTTGAAACATTATGAAATACACCAGATTTTTTTCTTATTACTTTAAATGTTATATTTAGGAGATAAACATGTTTGACTAGACAGCCTTGTTTTTTTAAACATTATGCTCACATTGGAAAGTCTAACTAAAGAAAACAGGTATGTCTATTCAAACACAAGTATTCAATAAATATAACATTTGAAGTAATAGATATGTTGGATTATAAATAAAATCCATTAATTTCTTAGAAATTACTTTGTTTACATTTTGGATACGAAAATAAAGAAGATATGTGCTTCAAGATATTCATGAGAGATGTGCATTCCTTAAAAAGGTTAATTGAACCTTGCTGGGTTGTGAAAGCTCTCTGTGGAAAGCACACCAAGACAGTGGTTTCCTCTGCCAAGGGAACTCAGTTTTGAACCCTGCAGAAAGGCACATTCTCTTTAATTTGCAATTCCTTTTATTTCCTTTATTATCCGATTAATATTTTGGATATCAATGAAATCCAAATATTAATTGCATAATAAAACTATAAGATTGTATAATGACTAAACCTGGCAAGATGGCTATCAAGAGGCAATTATAATCTTATTTAAAACTTTTTAAACTATTGAAAAATAAGTTTTAATTATTCAAAATTCTCCTCAAAGTGTGAAATCCTAATCTGTTTAGCTTATACCCAATTGGATAGATTAATATGATTATCTTCTTATTAAGAAAGATAATCCTATTTTAATACAAGAATCCTTCACTTCTTCTTTGATCTCAAAATATGGAGCTTACAGCTACATCATTTTAAAACATTAGTTCCTATATATGATCACTGAAGTTAAGCAATGTTGAGCCTAGTCTGTACCTAGATGGGTGACCACTTGGGAATACCAGGGGCTGTAAATTTGGGTGTGCAAGTATAATGGATATTGGCTTTGAATTGTTAATTGGAGAGCTGAATTTCAATTTCAGTTCATTATATTTAGGGAAAGGTATGAATCCACCACTTCTCCTCCAGCTATGGGTTAATTAGTAAGACTTGTATCACTGAATCCTTATTCTAAAAAAAAAAATTCTTACAATCTAAAAATATTTTCTGGCTTTAAATAACCTGCAATGGGTTGATAGGCTGTAAAAAAATATATCAATCAATAAAACCAAAAATATGAATGTGCAGAGTTGCCTGACTGTTACTAGTGTGGAAAACAAAATCATCAGATCTTGAGGGTCAGCCCAGGTTACTTGCATTCACTTTCATACTAATGCTCATGGGAAAGGCATAAATCCACTTGTTCCTCAGTTATGGGTAAAATAGCAAGGCAGACTGAACTCTTTAATTTTGGATGGTAAGCAGACGTGGAAAATGACAACTTTGTTTCCAAACTAAAATTAAAGTCCCCAGGTAGATTGGTGGTAAACTTTACCTCCTCTCTGGCAATTTCTCTAGCCAAAATGCCGCCACCAATTTTGACATCCCATTGTACCACTGGACAAAAAAAAAAACAGTCTTTGAAGCGGTGAAAGAAAGTGTAACCACCACAGAAATCAAATAAAACATTCATGCAGAGGTTTGTGCATAAATCTCCTTCTGTACAGCGATTGGCATCATCTGAAAAATGGTCAATGAAGAGACCATTTTAGATGCACAGTTTGGACACTGGTGAAAGTGATGGAATTAGGTCCCCCCCACCTCACATACCAACTGTTTCTCACAAGTTGTATACTTTAGGAACTGTTTGAGTCAGTTTGTTAGCATCTTTGAATCAGCAAATGGGTATGTAATTCAAATGAGTGAATAATTCCCATAAAACAAAAACAAACACTCACTGGGATCTTACACAGATGTTTTACCAAAAATAGTGCCATATGTTGGAAATTAAAATAATAAAAAGTATATTTTGTTAATTTTTCTTATGTACACATATTTTTTAGATACACTGTATTTTATTTTAAAATTAAAAAAAAAATGAACCCAAGTGTTAAACTATTTGTAAACGTGTTATCATCTGGTAAAGTGATGATTTTTTTTATATGCTAGCAGAAAAGGGAAAGAAAAGGGAACTGATCAATTTATTTTGCTCACATAGATTCTTCTTGTGCTTATGCAAATTGACTCATTTGAGTTTAACCACACCTTGGAGATTCTCATAAAAGAGTGAGTTTGAATTTTTTGGTTAGCGCTTTCGACAGGGCTTTTTGTCTGTACCTTTAGCTACAAGGAGGGTAACATCCTCCACAGTTTCTCACACAACTCAAGAAGTTCGAGTCAGCAGAAGGAGCCATCGATGCCTCCATGACAACCAGCATCTACAGAACAGAGCGAAAGATTTCTACATTTTGAAATACTACAGTGGAAACACCCAGATTTTCTGTGAAGAAGGCAATTTCAGCACTTTACAAGTCAATCTTTTTTGTGTGAGCCAAAGTAATTCATTTTAACATATCTGACAGATTAAGCTGAGATTTTAAAATCTAAAAACCTCTTATTAAGGCTCTTATCAAGAATCATTCCTTTGTGTCAACATCTAAAATTTGTTTATATTGTAAATAAAGTTTTTCTTTTTGTTACTTTTATAAACATTGAGTAATTTTGTTGTTTATTTCTTTTGCTGTCTTTATTTACACTGTTAACATGGATATCAGACTTGTTGGGACCTGTACTGCATGACAAGCTATATTAGAGACCTCAGCTAGGATTGAACCAATCTTAAGCCACTACCAGCCTAGTTAAAATTTCAAATTTACTACACAAAAATAGAAATAAGGCATAAGATAAGGATTCGTTTTCTCACTGGATTTTTTAAACCTTTACAGAAAGGTCATCCTAACAACTTGAAGTCTTTTCAGGATTTATTATCGGTGGGTACAATCTTAAAATGTAAGATGCGTAGGTGACACAGTGTTGATAGAAAATATAGAAAACAGCAAGAACTCCTAGATGAGGTAGTAAAGGAAAACAGGAAGAAAAGACTAATCATTAACTATGAGAAAACAGAAAGTATGGTTGTTAGCAAGAGAAAAAAAAAACAAGATTGGAGAACTTATAATATGGAAACGAGTAAATAAATATTTGGTAAGTGTTTAAATGAAAAACAGAAATTGTGACAGTGAAATCTGAAGGTAAATTTGAATAGCAAAGGATGTCTTACAAAAGTTAAAGTATTTTTTAAACAGAGAAAAGAATGTTGAAGTGTCATGTAATATCAATCCTCCTATATAGAGTTGAATGCTGGACAATTTCCTCACTAATAAAGAGGAAACTGGAGGCAACAGAGATTTTCTTTTTGCTAATTCAGTAACCTTTTAACTTGAGTTATACTTGAGCCTTATATTGGCTGAATATACAGCGTATATGAGGAAGTTTTAAGGGGAATGGAAATAAAAAGGAAATACAGTTTTATATTTCTGAGATGAGGTATTGTAACTATTTACACTGTTAGAAATGGTGTTCTCATCTTTATTGTCATTTTCACAACATTTTGGCCATTGTACGCTGTGACGATGAATATTCGTTTACCGGATTCAAGATGTTTTGCTTTATGATGGATATATGCCATTTTAGTCATTTCATCAATCCTTTCCTCTTTGCATTTGGTCCAAGAAAAGTACATTCTCCAACATTTGTTTATTTTATGCTTTGAATTTGTTCTTCATTGGTGATATCTGATTGATGGCTAATTTCAACCAAACCGTGGTGACATGCACTGTTATAGAGTTTTGTATTGAGTTACGACTGTTTATTTTTTTGTCAAGGGGCTAGCTTCAACCTACTATATTACGGTGTCTACTGAAACGTTCACACTGAACGTCAACATACACTTCAAAGTTCTTCAAGTGATATATGCTGAAATTTCAGACCAAATCCTTTAGTCAAGGGGGTATATTGTTCGAGTTCCACGTGCCATGCCTTTTCTGGATATCTCAGTTTACAAAAGGGAATTAAAAAACTAAAACCTGAGATATCCAGAAAAGGCTTGGTTCATTGAAGTAGAACAATCTACCCTGAAGATTAGCTAAAGGGTTCAGTTCAAAATTTCAACATAAAACACCTGAAAAAAGCTGGAGCATAAAATGGCTGAAACATTGTGAATATGACAATACAGATGAGGACAACAGTTCAAACAATGTAAATAGTGTAAAAAAGGAATATGTATACTAAGAATGAGAAAGAGTTGAAATTTCTAGGCACGGCTAATGAGGAAAGAAGGCTTGGCGAATTTGAGACATACAAGATATATTGAGGGTCAGAGGGAAATGAGCTTGGGTAAATAGATGGCACAACAGGGAGTGGGAGGTATAGTAAAAAGGCAAACATTGCTAAGAGCTACAAAAGAACTGGAAGTTGTGGAGGAACATAAAAGAAGATGAACTGCCTGTTTGACTTTCACATGTCTTAAAAATCACCTTTCTAATTATTGATTATCAATATAAAGAAAAACAAAGAGAAATACCATAGTAAATAAATAAAAAATAGTTTTGAAATGTTCTGTACTTACAGTTCCTTGTTCCTGACCTAAAGCAGCATTTACAACTCCCTTCAGGATATATTCTTGTGGTGTGCAAGGTTCCACATCTTTGATCAGAGCATATGCTTCAGAAATGTCATCTAAAAGAGAAAGAGGAACAAACAGGATTTTGAACAAATGAACAATAAAGAAGCATCAGAAAAAATAGATTTAGAAAAATAGATGTGAAAAGCCGACCTTGACATATTGATAATAAAGTACCAAACAAACTGTTTCAAAGAGAGCCAGATCTTAGATGTGGGTGTATATATATATATATATATATATATGTATATACATACACACACACACACACACACACACACACACACAAAGAGGTTCAATCAAGAAGTATGGGGACTGTTGCTATAGTAACAGAGCTAAAGTAAACAAAGGGAAGCTGCTTGGCACACATTGATCTTGAACACTTTTATAATGTTCTCAGTCACTTCTGTTGTTTATAGCAGTGCTTGGTAGGAAAGTGTATAGAGTGTGGTCATCTCACCACACCACACCATGCAGGTTCCATCAGTGTGCAGTGGTTTGGGGCAAATCACAACATTCCCCAGGTGCGACAACCATCATATTCCCCAGATCGCACATCTTGTGACTTTTCCTCTTTAAAAATCAAATCCCACTAGAAAGGAACAAGATTTTTAAGACATCAAAAGGAAATCCAAAAGAATGAATGAAGGTGTTCCAAGAATGCTTCCATCAACAGAAACGTTACTGGATAAGGTTAGTGTGGCTTCAGAGGGAACTACTTCAAAGGAGATTAAATGGCAAATTGATATGTGCTGTGGTTTTCATTTTATAGCACCAGTTCCGATACTTTTTGATTGGACCTTATATATTGTGCCTATTGTAAAACACTTTGTAATTTCCGATTTTTAGAATTGAAAGGATAAAGGAATATATGAATGTGAAAGTATTCACATCCTTTTTGGATAACTTTCTCCATATCATTCATTTATTTTTTCAAATATTTATTGAATTTATTTAATATATATATATATATAAAAGACATAGTTTTAAGATATTCTATGTTTATGGATAAGTGCTCAATATCAGAAATATAACTATTGTGGGATGATTCCCACAATAGTTATATTTCCCACATTTGTTGCAAGGTGTGGATGTTTTTCAGTAAATATTTGTCACACTTGTCCTACAAACAAAATTTGGTGAACCCATGTGAGTCTAGGTAAAAATAAGAAAAAAAAATTGGAATTTAAACAAACAAGTTTGAATAAATATATTAAACAGACAAGTTACAAAAATAAAAATGAGAAATGAAGTTAAAGTTATAATGAGTTCAAAGCAACATTCAGTATGTGTCACTCAATTGAGCAAGAAGAGAACATCTTGTCACTACCAAAGTTGAAAGGGAAAGAGGAAGAGGCTTTCAAATTCCGTGTCACCTGTGATAATCCTGGGGGGGGAGGGAGTAATCAACAGAACTTATGTAAATATAGAATTGAGGACTGAGGTCAACACCAAGCAGTAACAGTCTGTTTCAATGCAGACTTCAAGCCATGTGTGTTGTGTTTCAGCTCGACTGTATATGCATTATGGGTAATAAGGTCTATTGTATTATCCTAATGGTTATTGGGTGGGCAGTAACTATTATTCTAGAAGCTATTGAATAGAAATAATTGTGTACCCAAAACATATATTTTTAAAATTTAAGTTTAAATTTTAAATTCTCAGTATCCACTTTCCTTTGTGTACATGTGTAGTCACATCAAGGTAAACATCACTTTAGTCTGATGAAGTCCTAAAGGAGGAAATGTATCACACAAAAACTTTTTCCACAAAAATGATATAGACTATAGTTTTTCCAGCCCAACAGAATCATTAACAGGTCTGTGGGTAGTAGAGTAACTTATGACAGCATAATATATGTTTTTAACAATGTAAAAATTTATGTGTACAGGCTGATAATAACCTATTCTCAGACCAACTGACAATGAAATCCATGTGTTTTGGAAATATTATCAACATTCTGGAGAGCTGAGCAGTCAAATGGACAAATAAAAATGTTGATTCGAATAAAGTCTGAAAAATATAAAAACAAAAAAGAAACTTGTTTGTCACTAAAAGACCTTTAAATAGGAGTTTAAATATGGTTTTATTATTGAGGAACCATAAAAACCATCATCATTCAGAGTAATATACAATAATGTAGATACAATGAAAAACACCTTGTTTTAAGTAGTAGATGACAAGATTAAGCCTGGCTTCAGGTATAACATCAACCAAGGGAGGTAACACTTGAAGGGCTGCTTCTCCACCTTGGAACACAACCTGAAAATACAAAAAGTATTAAATGTATTCACCTAAAAGATTTTGTTTCTATCAAATTAATTCATCCTAGTACAAAAAGCATTTATAAGGATATAAAAACAAGATAATTCTTTGAGTTTGCAATTATAGAAGTGACCTTGTGAAAAGATTTTGTGCTGTTTTTCAAAGGTCTGTTACTATGCCATCATCATCTGTTGTTTCATCACACTACACATTTTGAAGTGCAAAACTTATTTTTCTAGTACATCAATAGTATTTGACAAGAGTGATTGTTGGTGTTTTATTTTTGGAACAGCCAGCCCTGCATAGTACCACTCAGTTTTCCTTAACATTGTCCCTACATTTAGCAACTTCCTTATTTCTTTATATATGGAAATATAATAACAGAGTGCAATTTAAATATGGATGGTTGAGAAATTTGCTTCCTAATAGTTTCCATTTTTGGGAAGCATTTGTAATGATGAATGTATCATCCTAACTAACCTTAAATAAATCATGACAAATAATGAAAAATGGGTTACATGTGATAGTGTTCAATGCAAAAGGTAGGGGATTGACAAGGATAAATCTCCACAACTGACCCCAAAGGATGAGCACCTGAAAGAAAAGTAATATTGTATATGTGGTAGGATTGTCAAAGCATTATTCATTTATAGTTCTTAAAAGACAATGAAACACTAAATGCACATTTATATGTCCATCAGCTGCAACATGTCCATAAAAGTTTGGTTAAAAAATATTTGTGCTCTTTAATAGAAAAAAAAGAAACTGGTGTTGTCCTCCATGACAATGCAAGGCCACATACAGCCAGAATAATACAGGAAAAAAATGTGGAACTTGGTTATTCTCTTCTACCCCATCTGTCACATTCCCCTATAGTGACATAGGGCTTCAGGGTTAAAATGAACAGTTGATTTACCCAGGCCAAATAAATTTATGGAGAGTAATAATGATGAGGAAACACACAGGTAATTTTAACAAAACAAGATAAGGAAATTATTTATGAATTTACACACTTGAAGTAGTGTCGGTAGCTCATTTAAGGAAAAATAAATCAGAAATCTTTAAAGTCTGTAGTTTCAACAAATTGTCATGAAGAGGAAATGTTAATTAAATGATATGACACAAAATAAGATTAAAAAATAAGAGTGCGTTCATTGTTCACCACAGTGATATGTTGTCTGCATATGTTCAAAAGTAGATGAAGAGAGATAGTTTGAAATATTTAGCTTTCTTGAATTGTTGAGAGAAAATTCTTTCAAGTGGTGGATGCTTGGTTAAAAGCCAGTAATATAACTGATGAATAATTTTACACTGGCAAGAACGTCAACACTGGTCGTTAGGAACTGAAACAAAACCTTTCACATGACTTCAGATGCTCTTCTCTTATTAATTTAATTTTTCTCCTAATTTTATATCAAAAGGAATTTTCAATAGGCTCATTACTTTCTTTTCTTTCTTCTTCTTAGCTCAATGGCTAATTTCTGTGAAGTTTTCATTGGTAGAAAGAAAATTTTACATAGGCTCACAAATTCCTTTTCATCTTTTTCCTCAGTCTTCCAAATTTGAAAGGAGTGAGTGAAGGGAATTATTATTTCACGCACACTACACGCTTGACATTGCACCAACAAAAAATGTGCGTAATTGTTGTAGAGTGGTTTCACAGTGGAGGCTTGTATTTGTACTAAGTCGGTCCTAAAATAGGTTCGACGTACAAAACATTAGGAACTTGATAGGTAATGACACAGAGAAATCTAGTGGTGGTTGCTGATACTTTTAGTATCCGACTAACGGTCGTCCGACATCGACTGACTGACCAACTCACTTAGCGACTCCTACTATTCCTACTTATTATAGGTGGGGGAGTCTATTAACTATAGAATAGGTGTGTTCCACTATAACAGTAATTGACAGTAGTGGAGGGGTAAGAGAGCAGAGCAGAAACATTCATTATTTATTAAATTTAAGACTGTGTTTTATATTTTACATTGAGTGCTAAATATAAGCATACACATCTATGAGACTAGCATACTAACTGTCTGACTATGCCATGTGTAGATTCAAGATCATAGGTCTCTGAAAAGTGTTTTAACATATAACAGAAAATGAAGGTGCATCAGAATAGCAAAGTGCCTTCCAAAAGCTAAGCAAAGTATTAAGAAGCAGGAAAATTTTGTTATAAAGAAAAGAATACTGAACTGGTATGTAAAACCAATCTTTTTATATGACAGTGAATGAGGGAAAATTTCCTTATAGTTGAAGAGAATACAACAGAAATGTGTTTCTACAGAAAGATGCTAAGAATACCATAGACAGAGCATGTAAGCAATGAGGAACTTTTAAGGAAAACAGAAACAGAAAGGACAATTACATATAAAATCTGAACGAGGCAGATGAAATTTCATGATGAGAAAAGAATGCCTGGAGAAAGAGAAGCAGAGAGAGCCAGTGAGTAAGCTACCTAGCAAATTTGTATAAATGGATGACAGAATAGGGAGAGGAGGGATAATAAAAAGACAGTCATTGCTAAGAGCTACAAAGGATGGTAGTTGTGGAGAGACATGATCGCTCACATGTTGAAGGGGAATGGTACAGAAGAAGGATATTTTTGGAACTTTATCTGCCCGAAGAAGAAATGAAAAATTACAAACATCTCTTAGGAAAAAATTTTGATCTGTGAATGTGATTTGTGACTTACCATATTGTGCTTGATAAGATCCCGAGCAAATGTGAAAGAAGGGGAAGCAATTTCTTGGAGGCCTTTGAGTTCACTCTGAAAACAAAAGGAAAATAATTAATGGCTGAATTGTTGAATTTCACTTAAGGAAAAAAAAAAAGGAAAAGAACAATTAAAGATGAACGAAATAAAAAAGAGAGGGAAAAAGGATTGCAAAAGAGGGAGGAGAGAGAGAGAGGTTACAGAAATAAGTAAAACATGTTTTCTTTTATTTTTCAATGTACCAAAAAACTGCCTGTGCCTAATACAATCATATTACAGATGGGAGATGACCAAGTGCTGTACTGGTAGGCTATGAAGCCTAAGTTCACCAGGCATAAAAATTGTTATTAGTACGTTTTTTTATGTTTTTTTACTGAATGCTATGTATGGTAGTCTGTACTGCAGTCTGAAATACCAGTTTCTTTTAGTCTTACGGCCACATCACATTCAAACTGGTTCTCATAAAAATCACCAAAGTAACATTGAACCTTGACAGGTGAAAGCCTAGGAATACCAGGTGATGTAAGCTTGAATATATAGAGGTGTCATGGATAATGGCTTGGAATAGCTAATTGGAGAGCAGAGTTCCAATTCCAGTTAGGTTTGTTATATTCACTTATGTGCAAATACACTTGGGAAAGGCATGAAACCACCTTTTTTTATTCCAGCTATTGGGTAATTATTAAGACTTGTATCACTAAATCATTATCTCGAAAAAAATTCTTACAATCTAAAAATATTTTCTGGCTTTAAATAACCTGCAAAAGGTAAGCTGTAGAAAATGAACCAATCAGTTTCTGTTAGAATGCATTCAGTTTTTAGTCCCTGCTGTTTATTGTATATTGTTGAAAATCCCAGTCTAGTAAGATGAACACTTACAGTTAGATAAAGGGGTCTACCACTAGTTTTTTTCTTTTTATTGTTGTTATAAAAGACGCACCGTCGTGTTGTCCCTAATAAATAAAATAAGTCACTGCATGGGTTCACATGTATGACATGTATGTGTTTCCTTCTTGAGTTTATCCTCCTGTCTGGAATATGAAGTTGAATACATGCATTCACATAAAACAAAGTATGTCTATGTTTACTATGTTAACTTGATCCATAAATTTCTAAAATATACTACTGGTAATATATCCAGTAAAATATTTTGTTTTGTCTGCATGTAGTGTCATATATATAAGAATTCATTCAGATTTACTGTACTTTACTTTGTCTGCATCTACTGTAATTATCTATAAGAATTAATACATATTTATTGTAATTTACTGATAACGTATATCAGTTTGTTTTGTTTATATATACACGTACTCATTGATACAAATGTACCAGTATTTCTTTTCTGCTTTGGCAAATTTGATTTAGTTTCCTTTGAAGATTAAAGTTACAATATATAATTTCACATTTTATTCCAGTATACTCTTACAGTGTTGTATTTGCATTTGCAAAATCATTCATTTTCCCCTGCAAAACCACTTTAAAATATATTTCAATATGTATATGATGACACAGACTAAATTTTTTTTCCTACAAAATATACTTGTAAAATAGGGAGGTATCTAATATAAGGGTGAGTGTTATATGGAGGCAAATATGGTAAATTAAAAAAATGGGAGAAAATTATCAAAAAAGAATGAAAAAGAAATTAAAAAAGGAGAAAAGGGGTAAAAATTAAAATATTTGAATGATAGACTCCATGAAAAACATTATAGACAGTTTTTCTAGTGACAATATGGAGAAAAGAAATGATCCTAATAAGGAGCTTGATGAAACAATTTTTTTTTCCTTTCTAACAAAAAACCCTATTATCCTGTTTTTCATCATAAATAGTCAAAAGCTATTTTCTTTACATGACTATTACCACAAGACAAAGAGAACATGTGACCGACATTCACTATACTATTTAAAATATATTTAATTCCATAATTACTTAAATTGAATATCATTATCAGGGTATGGCTGATGTTAAACATTATTATTTTACATTATCCTTTGATGCTGGTGAGTTAAGTTTATGTATCACATTTAATATAGCTGCAAGTAAAACAAAGAATAAAAAGATTAAATTGAGAATTTGTTAGTCTCTTAATGTAATAGTCCAGGGCATGTTGAAGTTACAAATTAATAACAGTCTAACATGTTGGCTGATTATTATCTCGACCTTTATTTTCCTTATGCCACCACCCTGACCTTCCACAAATATCATTATAAACGTACCTCAGCAGCCTTGCCATCATAAAGCCGGAAATGGTTACACGCTTTGAGGTTAAGAGCAATGGCACTGTCTGGATATTGCTGAAGGTAAGCTTGTAAGACTTCCTGCAAAAACATAAAAGACAAAAAAAAAAAATACATATATACAGAGTTGTTCTTTCCCAGAACACGCACACATAAATATAACATCAATAAACTTACAGCTCTGTAAATACGAAGCAAAATGAAGCCACTTGATTTCTTGAATGACGCTCTTTTGTATCAAACACAAATGCCGACTGGAATAGTCCTGATGGTGGGATTCTAGATGACTGGCAGCTGATCTCTCTCCTCTGACTTTGCTTGCACAGTTCAATGCAGGAGGAAGTGGCTTGTAATATTTAATACCTCCAGAACCAAGCTAATAACATTTCATCATTACAAAGCAGACACTGAGTTTCTTCCAGTCATAAATAGTTGCACTCTCAATGCCTGAAACGTCTATTGGGATTCACTCCAGGCCTGAAGTGGAACTTTTACCTCGCTAAAGATGCTGGAAAAATGGTCGGTCCTTTGAACTGCCCCAGAAAGTACCTAAATCATTCTGCCTTACTCAGTCTTTAAAAAAGCAAGACCAGACCAAAAATAGAAGTTAATTCTAACTAGATTTCATCATTAATTGATCCATAGAAGAAATCAACAAATCTCATTATAGCCAAGTGAGATTTAACTTACCATTATTATTATTATTATTATACCTTTCCTGCTTTGACAGAGTTCAAAAGCATTCTCACAATCCTACATCCCTTTCCCCACAGATGAAACTCTTACTACTCTATCGTTATTTTCATGACAGGTGGTCAGGCTAGCTACATTCATTAGTTCTACCAGTCTAAATCTTCATAACTAGGATCTCCCATGCCACGTACACCAAGTTGACATCTTTATTCCCTTCATATTTCATTGGTAAGGAAGAAGCTTCTTTCCCAGAACTGTTACATTGAAAGGATGCTTCCCCCCGATCTCTGCAATCTTAACCTCTCCAAGTCTTGGGTCAACCGTTATCTATTCTACATATCCACATAACATGCACTTTTTATTACCACCCTGTCTGGCCTTACAACAAACTTATTTAATAACCCTCTACATTGAGTGGCTCTTGTACCTTGTATTACATGAACAATAGTATAAAAAACATTTGTCAACTTAAAAAATTAAGCAGGGGAATTTTTTATTCCTGGAACAAAATTTTTTGAAAAATAAACACACTGATGAGGGAAAATTGAAGGAAATAATTGTGGTGGTACTTGTATCTGGTACACAAGAGTGTATGCTAAAAACATGAAACTTTACAAAAAGGATTTTAGAAGGGTGCACCAAAGGCTTTCATTGCTTTTCTTAGCTGTTCATGTTATTCACAATGTATTGTATTTTACTTTAATCATGTTATGTTACCAAATATGAAAGATGTGTTCTTTGATCATGCTGACCATGACCCTCTTGGATCACACATTAAAATTATTTGTTATGAAATGAAAAAGGACTCAAAATGTAGCAGGCTGTGGCCCTGGCTGAGTCATACAAGTGCATGGAAAGTGGTTACTGATTGAGAGACTTGATAATTCTGAGTGAAGATGTAAAGATATTAGGAGGAGAAAAATATGGGAGAGTGGTTAATCAGATTGGAGTCTGATGAAAAAAAAAATCTGGTTTAAAAATATTCTTTTAAATCAATTAAATATTTATAAGGCTGGCCTCAGAAAAGTTTGAAATCAAATTAAACTAAATAAGATTTAGTAAGATTCACCATAACTGACATCCCTGGCCTGACTCCATAACCCCAAGGAAATTGGCAAGACATGACTAATGAGTTTGCTAAAAGCCCACAGGATTTTTACTAACTTTAAGATTTCTTATTTTAGCAACCTATCCAGCATATTCCCACCAATTTCAATGTAGATTTTGGAAACTTAAAAAAATCCAGGCTCAAATTGAAAAGCACTTTATAGAACAGCCATCTGAGTTATATAACAGGAGGTCCTTTGTTTGAGAAGCTAATTTATCATGTCTACCCCAGGGCCTACCTATATAAACAGAGTATGCATGTCCAGAAATCAGAGTTTTGAATAGAGTTTGAGAGAATTATCCAGAAATCTTCAGAGTGCATACCTCACAGAGAAAACTGGCAGCCCATTAATTTCTGTTGGCACATTTACACCTTTTTCAGCATGATCACCCAACATTGAAAAAACAGAAATCTCACCGAGATCAACAAAACTGAAAAAAGAACAGTACAGAACATTCATTTTTGGCTGGTACACAAACAAAATCCTCTAGATGATACAAATTCCAGTAAAAGAAATGAACCAGTAAAACTGATTGCACCAAATACAAGCCACCTTCATCAAAGTGTAGCCTCCCCACTTACAATATTTGAAACCTAGACATATGTATTGTATTTGATAACTAACACAAGTAGAGGTTATGTTGAGTGATTGTGCTATAAAAAGGCAAACAAAATTGACTAGAAATAAATATATAAGAAAGAAAGAATCTTAAGCTTTTTCCTCTACCTTTAAAACATTTTTTATACAATAAAGAGATTGTGTTATAGAAATTAAAAGGTTGAAAGATAATTCCAGAGTAAACCAGTCAATGTTGTACAGATGGGAACTGACGGTTAAAACCCAGACAGTGAAAAACTAAGCAGAAAAACAGACAACCTAAACATGAAACTTCATAAAATTAAGAATAAAAGAATACGAGTTATAACTTAGTCTAGCTTAAAACATCTAGTGATCACTAAATTCACTGTGATCTACTGACTTTGTTCAGTATCATCCTATCACAGGTAAGCTTGTAAGGTACCAGTTTTTACAAGTATGAAAAAGAATTTAAAAAAAAAAATGTCTACTCACCTGTGAAACATCATAGTAATCTAATTTATGGTAGCAGAGAGCAATGTAAACATTTAGTGCTAAATAATCCCTGAAAATAAAAAAGTGAAAAAGCTTATGTTACTTTTCAAAGGTGGATGAAGGAGTTCATAACATATGTAGTTTTAATTTTGAACTGAAATTTTCACTATATAATGTTTGATTTAGGAGATTATGAATTAAGTTCATTATGGTAATAATAAATATTTGTTGAGTAAAATAAACTCTTTTTTCATCATTAGTGTTATTGATCTGGTAGTAATTTCTAAAAAATAAAAAACAATCATATACAACCTTATTAAGACAAATGTTTTGGCTGATCCATTTTGATCCTTCATCAGCCATGAATAAAAGGAAGCTTCTAATTTGATAGGTGAAGAAATTGTTCATAATTATATCCACTGAACTGGTCTATTTTTACAATGACAGATACATCGAGTGCCCATGTGATTCCAAAATACAACACGGTAGGGAATGCCCCAACATGAACTTTATTATAAAGATAACCATACTAGTCTAAATCATACACCCAGTTAATAGTTTTTAGGTCCTTGCTAGATTAGATAATCGTTATATTTATATGTTTATATTTGTTTTGTAACCTGTAGTCGGTATTAAATTTATCAAATTTTCTCAATTACACAGCGGCCCTTTCAGTAAATGTCATTCAAGTTTACTTTCCTTCACCCATCTCTCTCCCCCACCTCGTCTTTCCCTCCCTCTTATCTTCAACATTAGATCATCTATGGTGTGTGTATGTCACCACGAAATGTATCTTTATGCATTAGACATCCGACAACATTCATATTTCTCTTACATAAACCCCTTCCACTCACCTCTCCTAAAATTCTCTCTGTTAAGGTTTAATCTCCCTCCTTCTCTAGTATGTTACCCCTCATACTTACACTCTCTCTAAATTCTGTTTTTATTTCCGGAGTTGTTTTTTCTGTTTTCTTTTTGAATTTGTAGGTCTGATGAATTGGATTGTATTTACGATTCCAATGGAATAAATTATGACCATGGAATATTAGTGTTTAAGCCTTTTTATTATATATATATATATATATATATAGATAGATAGATAGATAGATAGATAGATATAGATATCTATATAATAAATGCAAATGACAGTGTGTCACACTTTTTCAACTTTACTCCTAGAGGCCATAGCCCAACATATCACCATTTTGGAATCAGGCCAACTCTGTGAGCGAATTAAAAATATTCCTACACAGATCCAGACCTACAATCCTGAAATTTTGGATTCCCATGTTTTCATTACTGCGATTGTTTTTGGATTTCACCATCATGGCTTCTACTGATAAAAATTATTAAAAGGGATACAACTCTTTAACTTTCAGTAGCTCATGTTCAAATGAAAAAATTACTGTTTTCAAATTACACTGTTTCAAACTAAAATTGTCTGTGTTTTCAATTTTACTTGTAGAGGGTGTAGCCCAACATCATACCATTTTGGAATCCGTCCAACTCCATGAGCAAATTAAAAACATTCCAGGCCAGATCCAGACTCACAATCCTGAAATTCTGGATTCCTAAGTTTTCATAACTGCGATTGTTTTCGGTGATTTTTTTATGTGATTTTTTGCAACAAATTTTTTTTGTACAATAATGATTTTTACAACATGGAAATAAATCTGGGAATAATCGAATTTAATTGTAAAATCCAGCAAAGTCACCCATGAAATAAAAATAATTGTTTGTATGGAAAGTAAGGACCTATGTACATCAAACTGTCTTTAAATTAAGTGGTGTCAGAAGAATTGTTTTTAAAAGGTAAGCTTAGATATTAATGCAATACTTAAATGCAGTGATCAATTTTAAGTTCTGTAATCGCATCTACTCTACCCTACCTATTGTGATGAAGGCCCAATCTAGAGCCCTCCACAGAAGCTAGCTTAAATGCCACCCTATAGGGTGCCTTTTAAGCTCGTATATATCTGGAGGGAGAAAGGTGCACAATATCCTCTCTGGGTTAAGGTTCAGATAATTGACAGAGACCATATTTTGGTACTTAGGTAGGGAGTTAGGCAGTATATATATATATATATATATATATATATATATATATATATACATACATGCACACACACACTGCTTAACTCCCTAAGTCCCAAACAATGCTTTCTGTCAATTATCTGAACTCTAACCCAGATGGGATTTTGTGTACCTTTCTCCCTTTAGATGTTGTTTGCCATACTAAATTTTATCACCTTTTTATGGCTATGGCTTTCTCATATTTCATGAGTCTAAGAAGTCATCTGTTATATATACCTTAGCGCATCTGTATGGTATGTTATAAATGCAGTTTTTTGTCAGATTTTTCTCTCATAAGCTACCAACTCTTGTAAGAAAGTTTTGATGGGTAGATCAATTATTAAATACTATCCTGATCTTGTAATGTTTACAAATCATTTGAATCTGTTCTGTTATGCCTGTTATATATGGAATGTTCAATTGAACTGAACTTTCTCTTACTGTTCCTAAACATAGAAGTAATTTAGGATGGATAGTTATTATGTTGGAGGAAATTATTAATATACCTTAATTCCTCTTCTACCCTTGTTGGATCATGATCCAGTGTAGAAGGTAACAGACTAGTGATTTCTTGTATTTTAAAATTCAAATATAGGTCCATATTTGTAGGTTTTTTGTGCATATTTGTGCTAAAGCTTTTCTAATGTGATATTATATTCGTTTTCTATTATGAACTCTATGGAATATTGAATAAAGTTCACATAATTCAATAGGACATGTATATACACATGCTAAGGGTCCATAAGATGAAAGTATCATCCATATACCCAAACTGGACCAACAGCTTCAACAAAGTGGTCTGTAGGAGTAGACCTTCAAAAAATTCCATATAAATATTAGAGGTCAATGAGGACAGTGAAGAAGCCCTATAGCTGAAACTTCTTGGCACAATGTGTTAGGAGGTCCAAACTGGAGGTGTGTTGTGCTAATGCAAAATGTCAACATCTCTATTAGTTTGTGGCTTGTGGAGATGTCAGTATAAGTTATCAAATCTCTATCCCTTTGCATGGAGGATATGCAAGGCTTTCTCTGCAGGTATCTTGTTAAAGAGGCTAACCACATTAAAACTAACCGTCAATGATGACAAGATGGGCAACTCTCTAATTCGTTCCTTGATGTGAGAATTCTTCATCTTGTTTTACCTGAAAGTGATTTTAAAATATCAACCAAGTGAATCAAAGAATGAAATGCTGAGCCATGTTAAGTTACCATAGGTTTTTATATGTAGAGTACGCTGATAAAGACAGCATGTTTCAGACTGTCAACTGGTTGCACAAATCATGCTAGTGTAGACCTTTTTCCTAGTTGGTGTTGTAAAGTTCCCTCATTTGGAGTTTGAATCACCTGTATGTTGTCACTATAAAAATAAACTAGTCTGGTGGGTATGTTAATGAAAAGTTTCTTAACCTGTTGTTCCATGTTTCCTTATTCCTTAAGAGAGCCGAAAAATGGATCAGCCAAAATGTTGTGCATCCAGATAATGCTGGATATGTTAATGACTCTTCTCAAAGTTAGCCAAAAGCTTGTTAGGTCAGTTACTCACTGGTTCTCTCTGCTCCTCTTGCCTTTAACATGTCCTGTGAGTGTCAAATTCTCTAGGCCTTCTTTTCTCATTATGAATTCCAGAAATTTCAATTCTTTCTGATTTTATGTATAATTGTACTTTCTGCTTCTTAAAACTTCATTTCTTACATGCTTTGTCAAAGGTATTCTCAGTATCCTTCTGTAGCACCATATAAATGTTGCCTCAAATATTCTCTTCATCTATGAGGAAACTGTCTATCATTCCCTGCCATATAAAAGGATTGATACTATATCGCAGTCTAGCACTCTTTTGTTTCTCATGATTTTTTCTTGTTTCTTAATACTTTGTTTAGTTTTTGGAAGGCACTTTCACTATTCCAGTGCCCCTTCAGATTTTCCATCTCAGATATTTAAATTTCTGTAGTTGTATGACTTTGACATCTCCAATTTGTAGCTTGCTTCGTGGGCCTTTTCTCTTGCTGACAACCATACAGTCTTCTTACTGTTGATGGTTAGTCCTTTCTTCTCACTTTCTTTTACCACCAAGTTTAGGAGACCCTGTAGTTTTCTTACTATGTCGGCCATCAACAAAGTGTCATATACATATCTTATTTTGTTTAGATTGTGCCAACTGATAATAAATTCTGGTAGGGTCTTCACTGTAAAGGTTTAATAAATCCTGTGAGAAGACACAACCTTGTTGAATGTTCCTTCCCATTGTTGTGTCGCTACTCCATTCATTTTCTGTTCGTATGCAGGTTGTTTTCTTCCGGCATAAGTTCTGGATTATTCTAGCATTATCCCCAAATAAATAAAATTTTCCTAACAGTTGAACCTCTTATATAAACATGACCATCTAATATATAAATGAACTCTTCTGTCGATTTCAGTCTATGAGTATTCAACAAAAAGTTCAATTTGGGTGATCATCATCCTGGGTGTGACATTTAAGTCTTGCCAGTGATTTGCATACAAGTCAATGTCTAAATATAGACTAAAGTGTGAACATGACTTATGCTCACCTGTAGACTCAAGTATGAACATGACCTATGCTAATCTAATTGTGCAAGTGTAAGGAATGCAAAACATGGTTGCTGGTATGGCTGATGATGCCTTCATCTTTGCTCTTGCTTCTTGTAGATGGTAATTCCAACTTGTTTTATAAATCTTGATACCATTTTGACATTTGCTCTTCCACTCTTGTCTATCCTGGGTCACTGCCTCAAATGTTGAATAAGGTATTAAGATTACTCTTGAGCTTGTCTTTATACCTCAGCCATGGCCAGTCGACAGTCTGCTTTTCAGTATCAAACAGGTTGTACATGAGGACTTCGTAGCTCACATCTTAAGCTGTTGCACTTGCTGACAACCATACATTCTGACTTCTTAAAATTCATGGTCATTTTTTCGTCACTTTTCTTTACTCAATTCTCTAGATACTGTAGTTTTTTTTTTCAGTGTCTGCCATTACTTTATAAAACTATTATTATTATAAAATTGCAAAGACCTCTTTGTGTTTTTATCTTCAAAAACAAACAACTATTTAGCAATCATCCAATCATTAGCCTGAATACAAGATGCTACCCAAAAGTTTGGGGAATGTGATTCAGAAAAACATTTACTTAGCTTAACCTCCCAGTTTCCCTTGTTGCCTTTTTAACTTTTCTTTAATTTACTTACAAAATTGTAGTGGCAAATCAGATGTCCATACTATATTTGGTTCAGGACCATTGTTCAAATATCCCAAACCTTTGGGTAGCACAATAAAAAAATATCTGTGGAGGAAAGAAAAAATATAAAAGATTGACTTTGATGAAATTTTTTCAAAAACAAATTAAACCACAACTTGCCTGTTATCTAGCAAGATCCGTTTGTAGACATCTATAGCTTCCTGATAATGGTTCCTGAGGTAATGGATTGATGCAAGGGATAGTTGGTCTTCGAGAATGTCCTGGAGATTCTGGTGATAATCCATCAAGCTGTTTTCATCACTGAATTTGTGAGACAAATGGAATAACAACCGATTCTGCAGACCTGTCTTCGGACCTGGATCCAAAGAAATGAAAATTCACTTTTCAATCAATCAACCTAACTCATAAAGGTTATGAGACCTGATTAAATATAGTTTAAAACATTATCCATATTGAATCAGATTTCACTTTACATTCAAGTTTATAAACGGGCATTTATTATATATAGCTATATTTCTCTAATCTTGTTTGTCTCATGTTGAAAAAAATTTTTCTTAATTGAAAATTGAAGACAATATGTATGTAGTATAGTTAGCAGATTTTATGATATATCAACCTCAGGTTATTTAATGTCAAAATATCTTTTGTATACTTGAGTCAATATGTAGGTATTAATTCTGTTAATACTTGAGTCTATGGGTGGGAATAGGCCATGTTTATACTTGAGTCCATGGGTGGGAATGGGCCATGTTTAATACTTGAGTCCATGGGTGGGAATGGGCCATGTTTAATACTTGAGTCCATGGGTGGGAATGGGCCATGTACTTGAGCCTATAGTTAAACATAGGTCATCCAAGTTGGGTTACTCCTTTGCTGGTGGTGCAGTCAGCATATTCTAGGCCCTTGTAAGAAACCATACAAGTGAGTTGAAAACTTCCTAAAACAAATTTGCCTGAAAGACCAGACTGTAATTATGAAATAATTACATTTAAATATCTAAGTTTAAATTTTTCAAAATCTTCAGCATTTCCTGTCTGGGAATAATTATAACCAATATTTGTATTTTTATATTTACCACCCCTCCTTCCTACACATATATAATTCCATCGACAAAAACATTAGTCTGATGAAGTCCTAAAAGATGAAACAGGTCACAAAAATATTTTCAACTATCATTAATTTGCTCAACATTGCTATGATATATGAAAGTTTATTTATCATATTTTTTATTTTAATGGTTACCTATATTTGTGTAGATGCTCCATTCATTTATTAAACAGTGCATTTATTTTTGTCTACTGGCCTGAAAATATGCACTTTCCAGCAGGATTTAAACATGTGTCCCCCTTTACAGGAGAAACCTTCATTAGATCCAACATGCTCTAGACCGACTCAGCCACAAATCATTCAGCTTTGCCTTATCAGTGATGTACTATGTGGCTGAATCAATTGTTCAATATAGTGTTTAATAAATAAACAAAGCATCTAATTCAAATATGGGTATCCACTAAAATAACATTGAAAGTGATAAAATATATCAGATTAATAAATAAAAAAAAAAATCTATAACTTCTTTAGAAATTACATATTCTCCTGTATTTCGATATCTTTTGAACTTGCTATCCATAATGTTTATTTCTGTTGTTGAAAGACTGTTTATATGAGAAATATGTTTTCTTATTGCTATTTAAATATTGGATTATTTTCTGTTCTTCTGATAACTGCCGTCTTACCTTTATGTGAAGCTTCGCTTGATTCTGGATACATTCCAAGCAGAAAATAGCAGCAAGCCAAATAATTCCAAACTTCAGGAATAAATTTGTCCCGTTTGGTCACTTTTTCATAAATCTGGCAAAAAAAAAAAAATGTTACGATAAAGTTAAAAAAGGAAAAAAAAAGAAGCTGAAACAAATATAGGGTGTTTCACAATTGTTGAAACAAAGCAGAAGCCTCTCAGATGGGGAGAGCTTGACGAGCATGAGGACCTTGATGAGGAAGAACAGTCGTTCCAGCAGGATGCCCCCCCCCCGCCTCCTCACACTGCTAATGGCTCCATGAAAATTCTGGTGTGCAGCTGCAGAAGCTGAAGTGGAATGGGCACCTCATTCGCCTGACTTGAAACCCTCAGATTTCTTCCTCTGGGGGTTCCTCAAGGACATCATCTACCAGGGTAACTTTTGAACCATTGCTGCATTGAAGGCAACCATCACTGAGAAGATTCAAGTGATCAAAACAGGAAGAAAGTGCACATGTTATCAACAAGTTGACCTTCATCTGAACAATGGACATCTGGAGCGTGTACTCTAGGGCTCTTCTTGACATTTTTGGTTCATGTTAGAGACTAAATTGTTGCAGATCCTAAAATGTTGTCCTTTTACCTTTCAATAAATGTAATTTCCATTACTTTATCATTTGTGGTCCTTGATTTGTTCTTGATCATTTTGTTTCAAAAATTGTGAAACATCCTGTATAACCATTTCTGTAATTAACAATATTGTTGGCACATACCTACGGACGATAATGAATATGTCCCTATTCACATAAATACAGACCAACATACAGTAGTAAATACTGTATGTTGGTCTACAGTTGGGGATTCATTGTGGAATTCACTTAACTCACTTCTAGCAGTTAACTACTTCTATGCACCACTGTTGAATCTTATATGTGTTGTTCTTGTCCTAATTATTATTGTTCATTACCAACCTTTGTTTGATTATTCTTTTCAGTAACCTTACCTAGGTTACAACAAATATCAAGCATGAAAATGTTTGAGAACTATAATAAAAGAGATTTATAAATCTACCATTTGTCCTTGCATTGAATACTGCTACTATATCCGGTCTGGTGCACCTGTTTTATATCTTTGGGATTCTTGACAAAATTCAAAAATTTCCATTACCTACAATCTTCAAAAATTTAAATGCAACATCAATCTTCAAGTCTTCCTAAAACTTGTTCCTTTATTGTCCTTTCTCCTCACTAAAGTCCTATCATTTTCTTTCACTCCCTCTAACCCCATGCATCTTAGCGGAATTATCACCTTGCTTGGGGTGAAATGATTAAAAAAAAAAAAGGTGAAAAACATAATGTTTAGAGCTGATAGATGAAAATAAAACTCAATTAATGATATTGATTTCAGTCCTTTCCTGTTTTTATTGAGGTTCGTTAAAAATTTAAATTTAAAACAACCTGGTTAAGAATGCAAATTCTGGTGAAATTTGTAAAACCATTTTCACATCTTAGATGTGAAATGAAATCTACTATAGTTTATACATATATGAAATATCTTACATATAAATAGTGTAAATATTTCTATGAATTCCTTAATTTAAAAAAAAATAAATACCAGGTTATTGAAACTCCAACAAATAATAATAAAAATTTAGACTGATAGAATTGGTTCAAATTTTAAAAAGAAATATTTTGAACAAAAAAGCTAAAAACAGTGTCATTGTAATAACAACAAAGGTATAAAGACAACATTAATTTGAAACTGTATGCTCTGTGTTTTAAAACTAGTTTTAGAAGTCATTCAGCCATTGATATTCTGAGCTATTATATATTTTACTACAGAGCATACTGAAAAGCATTCCAATGTTCATCTTTGTTGGTAAATTGATGTCCATTAACATGCACCTTCTCCCTTCAGAATTCTTCACAAGCTGTCAATTAAGTTAAGGTTGGGTGATCAAGTCAGCCATTTCATCAATCTATCTTATCGGAAACCCATTTTATTCAGATATTAATTAGTTTTCTTTGACGAATGTCACACATGAAATTATCAGGTTTCATTTTATTTAGATATTAATTAGTTTTCTTTGATAAATTTCACACATGAAATTCATCATATGTTTGGCTTCTTCTTAAACCATAGTTCCACATATGCCTTCAAAAAATTAGTGTATGCCTGAATTGTCATTTTAACATCATTTGGAACTTGCAATGGGCCTGCTACTTTAACACTTTATGATCACACCACAAAACATCATACTATCTGGGCACCTCGGCATGGTGTAATGGTTAGTAAGCTTGTCTAGCTAGAATAGTTATGACTGAGTAGTGAGTTCGATCCTCAATGGGTGCCCCTACTTTCGGCCTTGTGCCACATCTAAGCTACACTTAGAAAATCACTACTATCTGTGCATCATTGACATCTCAGGTTAGTTTCCACCAGTAGCCATCAGTCTGGCCCATTGAGGCATTCCTATCCATCTGGACCAATGAGGCATTACCATCCATCCGGCCCAATTAGGCATTCCCATTCATCTGGTCCAATTAGGCATTCCCATCCATTTGACCCAACAAAGCATTCCTATCCATCTGGCCCAATTAGGCATTCCCATTCATCTGGCCCAAAGCCTAATTCATTAGTGAAAATAAGCTAAAAAAAAATAAGGGCACTATTTAAGTTAACTGATTCACTCATAAAAAAGTAGAGAAGAATTTTTTTAAACAATTTTTATCGATTCACATTCATTAAACCTTTCTCTACCCACGACATTTGTGAAAATGGAAAATATTGATATTTTAGCATTTTTTTTTCCTGTTCATAATATAAACGCAGTGTCAAATCAATCTCCGATTTCTTTACAAATGTCAATTTTGAAACTGTGCTTACGCAATTGCTAACTGTGAACTATTACAAATTCAGAAAAAGGAAAACATTTGTAGTACAGTTATCAATGACGTAAACAGTTTCAAAATTGACATTTGTAAATAAAAACAAAGTACAGATAACTCTTTAAGAAATCAGATATCAATTTAACAATATTATGAATAGAACTGTCCTTTAAGAAATGATAAAAAAATATATTTTTGATTCTGACAAATTTTGTAGGTAGAGGAAGGTCTAATGAATTCTAATCTACAAAAATTATTCCAAAAAATTATTCCTTGTTTTTTTTTAATACTTAATTTAAACTGTGCCAAAATCAGTTTTCATGTATTCTGTAGCCCATTTCATTCACTTTTCCTTATGGATACCTTTTAAGAAAGGCCACAGGATTAGTTTCACATGATTTTCCCCTTGATTTAGGGTCCAGATATCTGTTTTTTGGCACTTCTTTGCTACCACAATGCCTAAAATTTGTGTATTTCTTGAAATCAGCTTTTAACTAATTTTTGTCAGTCTTTTAATTAACACAAAAAGAATATGAGATAAATTTAAAAAATGAATTAAATTAGTTAATTTCTATAACAATACAATTAAATGCAAAAATTAAGCATTCAGATGCTTAACGTAAAAGCATGTAAATTTTGGTTTGTTCAAATAAAATTTGCTCATTCAATGACACCAGATTACTAGCCAAACATGTCAAGCTAAATTATGTATATATACTAGCCAAAGTACCCAGTGTTACCCAGGTGTACATGGCTGCAATTGTATAACTGTACACCCTGTATACCTGCACCCCCGTGTCTAGAAATGTCTGCCTGCTTCCCCCACTTGCATGCAACATCTGTTGGCATACTAAGCTACTCCCCACCTCTTTTTTTTTTTTTAGTATGGCATTGTTCACAAATCTAATAATGAAACAAAAACAGGGATGACGCTTGATTCAACTGCAAGTGCATATGCATAAACGCCCCTCTCCTTCTTCACATATTCACTGTAAAGCTGGGGTTAATAAGATGTTTTCAGGAATTTTTCTCCCTTTTAATGCTTCAATAGTACTTCTCATCAAATGTTGTTTAACTAACCAATAGTTTCTACATATGATTCCATCCTAAATTGGCATATATATAAAACAGATGCCTGTGTGTGTGTGCATGCTGTTTATGCACACAGACAGACATCTTATGTTTTATTTATTTATTTATATATATATATATATATATATATATATATATATATATATATATAGAGAGAGAGAGAGAGGGAGAGAGAGAGAAATTAGGAAATCAGCAGATTCCACTACCTTGGTTTCAACTTTTTGGTATCTTCAGGCAATTTTGGTCAATTGATTTTCTAACACTTTATTTTTTAAAAATCAAAAATTCATGAATTTTCTAATTTTCTATACTTAAATGTTCTACATGTTATCTTTTATATATATATATATATATATATATATATTGAGTACTTTTTTAATACTTACAAGAGGCCTAAAGTTTGAGGCTATCCTCTGGATTTTAAAGAATTGCCAAAAAATTGAAGGTTGTGTGCCTTTTTCAAAATTAATTTACTTGCTGAGCCACAGTTTTTTTTTTCTTATTGAAGAATTTTCTCATATCTTCAATAATAATAATAATGAAATTAAACCCTAGATTCCTTCAAGTTTAATCTCTTTTTGCCTAATCTACCTTGCTGTCTAAGGGTCATCTTAGGGCTAGTGGATTTTAAATTTTAGATAACCCTCTCTATAAAAAAAAATGTCCCCCATGCACTAATGGGTTAAATAGATTCAGTATCTAAGCTTAGTAGGAGTTAAATCAAAAATGGTATGAAAGTTGCTAATTATTAAGTCCGGAGGGAGGCCCCAAACTTTTAGCCTACAATGTATATATAAAAATGCAAACACATACAGTTACAAACTTGGTAAAAAATATAAAGAGGATAATAATGTGAAATAACAATATAGTTTTAAGCTATCCTATATTTATGAGTAAAAGTGCTGCATTATTCACTACTTTCCTTTCCACTGCATTGTTTTTCAAGGTACCTCTAATACACCACTTAATTTCAGTCATGGTCATTTTCTGTTGCTATAGCAGGATATGACAACACAATTGCAAAATTCAAACACACTTATTATTCATTCATCTGAGTCACTTGCAGTGGCAAGATAAAATGTTTGTTTTGGAAACAAAATCACTGCTAAATGTTAAAGTGTAATATCAGGGATAGAGTGTGTGTAAATATAAAAGTGGATACGGAGGTCTACATCGAGTAGTGACAGTCTGTTTCATACTTGAATTCAGTTTTCAGGACCAACGTTTGCATTCATGAAACAGACTGTGGCCACTCAGTGTTCATCTCAGTGTCCAATTATATATATTACTTCAAGTGTTACTTTTAGTGAATAACTGTATTTGAGTAGAACAGATCTTGTTTCTATATCTTTTTATTTTAAACAGTGTTTATTTCATCTACTAATCTGTGCATTTGAGAAAACTTAATAAAAAAAAAAAATGTGACCTCTGGTAGGATTCAAACTTGCTTAAAGAAAACCCCCCAAAAAACAGGATATTCTACTCAAATATGAAAATCCACTAAAAATTAGGCTTGAAGTAATAAAAATAGGTTGGATTAAAAATAATAATCCATTAACTCTTCAGAAATATATATATATATATATATATATATATATATATACACACATATAAATTCTATATATATTTTATATATATTTTATATATATGCAGTACTTATTGGAAAGCGCTCAATATCAGTGATAGAGCTAACATATTTAGTTGAATGGATATGAGTTTGTGACCATCAGTTTCACATTTATGCAATCCTCAAGCTGTCTGAGGATCGCATAAGCATGAAACCGACAATCACAAACTCATAACCATTAAATATATATATATATATATATATATATATTAGTTCAAAAGTTTGAAGCTACCCCCAGAATTAGTATGTGATGAACTTGACAGAAGAGTAAAAAATAAAAAATGAAAAAGTACTCTTAGAATCATTGAAAAAAAAATTGAATCAATTATCAAACTTATAATTCAAGAAACCTTTGCAACAAATGCCATGCCAAAAATTTGTGCTGCAGTCATCAAGGCTAAAGGAGGAGATTTTGATGAGAGCAAAATTTAATCATAAAATTCTTTCATAATAAAATTTCTAATAAAATATTATGCCTCACTTTTTTTAACCATGTATAATAATTACATTAAAGTACAAAACAACTACTTTTGGGGCCAATTTAAAAAAATTACCAGGTGTGGCTTCAAACTTTTGGACTGTAGTGTGTGTGTGTATATATATATATATATATATATATATATATATATATATAGAGGGAAATAAATATTCGTACACATGACAAATTGTATTTTTATAAATGTAAAAGCCTTAATTAAAACAAATTTTGATACATTTTATGTGGAAAGATGCATTTTATTAAAAAAATAGTAATAAACTTAATTAATTCTTATTCTAACAGAAATTAATGCATTTGTTTCATTTTAACTGATGAAAAAAGTATCTGTACAAAAAAAAAAGCATATTAACTTAATTTAATACTTTGTGGAATATCCTTTATTGAGTTCAACAGCAGCCAGTCTATTCCTGTACGTCTCAAGTAATGATTTGCACACATTAGGTGGTATTTTGTCCCATTCTTCTTGGCATATTGTCTTCAAATTCTTAATATTTGTTGGTGGTCTTTTCCCAATTTGAATTTTCAAATATTGCCATAAATTCTTGATTGGGTTCAAGTCTGGGGACTGACTTGGCCATTGCAAGACATCAACGTTACTAACCATTTCCTTGTAGATCTAGCGGTATGCTTAGGATCATTATCCAGTTGGAAAGCCCAATCAGGAGGTAGCCGAAGTCTCTCAACAGAATGCATTAAATTGTCTTGCAGGATTTTCTGGTAGCTTTCGGCATTCATCTTACCATCTATTATTGATATTCTGTCAAGACCTTTTGCAGAAAAACAGCCCCAGATCATGATACTTCCACCACCAAACTTTACAGTTGGCAATGTGTTCTTTGGGAAGTAGGCTTCACCGTCCTTCCTCCACACATGATTTCGATAATTATGACCAAACAACTATTTTAATTCCATCTGTCCATAGTACTTTTTCCCAAAATGAATATTCTTTATCCTTGTGACACTATTTAGGGTTTCGAGAAAGAAATAAAAAAGAAAGAAAAGGTGAGAATTAAAATTAGGTGATAAGAATCTATCACGAAAAGACGATGTTATTTTTTTTTTCTAACAAGGAAAAGTGATAAAGATTTTATTTTCATTAGCAAAGAAAGTAAGATCTCGTATCTGTCGCATTTGATTTATGACAGCACACCAAGTATGGCAATGGTGAAAATTTCAGGTCGGTCAGGCGGCCTACGAAACAGAAACTGAGAGATAAAAATTAATTAAGGACGCACTGACTGAAAAACAAAATGTCCTCTGGACCTCCCGCAGAGCGCTGGGAGATAAAAATTAATTAGGTCAAGCTTTGACCGAAACCAAAATGTCCGTTGAACCACCTGTTTATTGTCAGGAGATGGCTATGATAGCAAAATTATTTTATCAGAACGAATAATCGGCACCAAGGTGCGATATGTCCAATTGACCACCCACTTGTTTGGCGAAGGTCCCGAGTGACAAATTCCAGGTGACATTCAGATAAAATTGAGATTAAGGGATCACATTACAGGTTGTATTGGTTTGTTTTCGGGCAGAAGGAAAGAAAGAGAAAGAAAAGAAAAAGAAAAAAAAAAAAAAGGAAGATAATTTTTTTTGCTTTGAGCAAGATTTTTTTAAACCGAGGCTAGTCTAGCCACACTCACTCCGCCGAGCGCCCATTGGCTGAAGGGTGACGTGAGCGTTAGGCAAAGGTAATCTATGAAGAAGGAGGGGAGGACTGTTAACGCCCCCTGAAGGGATTGGGTGAGATAATGAAAAAGGAAGAATCTGGAAGGACTTCCAAAAATGGAAAATAAAAAATTTTTCCTGACTGAAAACAAAGAAGTGGATTGTGGATTTAGAATTATCAAGGAACCTCAAACCCCGACAAGCCCACCCCGGTTTTGGTCGGCATCCATATAAGCAGTTGGCAACTGAGGAGTTAAGTTCAGTTAAGTTCAGTTGAGTTAAGTTCGCAGTTCGCGGCTGAGTTGAATTGAGTTGGGCCCGCCTAGCAGGAACCCGACTGAAAGATTCCACGCAAATCACGACCTCAACTTCTAACCAAGAACAATTTATTTTTGAAGAACGACTTAGACTCACACTACCAAAACAAGTTTTACAAATATCACCTGAATATACACCAAGAACCAGTTTCTTAAAGAATAAACAACTTAAGATGTTAAGACTCGCCTAACAAACTTAGAGTGTCACGAATCCATATAGCGGTTTGGGAGAAAGATGCAGTCCTGTATTCAGCAACCAGATATAAAATATTGTTATCCTTTTTTAACACATTTGAACTTTTCGAGTTATTACTTTATTTTCTTTTACATATACTTGTGCGGTGTTGCCCTTGGCCGGACTCAGCTTGCATTACGGCCCGGCGACCGATTGATTTCGTCTACCTAAGATCAAATCACAATGTGGGTAGGTTAGACTAGAAATCAAAACAGTTACTTCGGTAACCAGACGTTGGAGGCAAGCCGGGAACGACAAGGCTGATACTGAATCTAACCAGATTCCCATCCAAATCAGCAAAAGGTTAGAACGTCACATTTGGTGCCGCGACCAATACCAAGTCACATTGGTCGTCACAAGACAGGATAGGATGGCGACAACACAGAGACAGACGGGGTGACAGCACAATTGGCGCCGCGACCAGGACAGCACGGCGGACGCGGCCAGCAGGCAGACGTCACAATTGGTGCAGTGACACCGGGGGGGCGTCATATCCTTATGCTCGCTAACGAATTTTAGCCTAGCACCTCTGTGTCGTTTCAAGAGGAGTGGAGTCTTCCTTGGGATGCGTGATTTCAGACTGTTTTTGTGTAGTTCATTACTTATTGCTTGGTTACTTTAATCCCTAATGCATGCAGGTGTTCCTGCAGCTCTTCTTGGGTAACCTGTGGATTTTTTTGATCTGGCATCCTAAGATCCTTGCTGATCTTAGAGAAATCTTCCTTGGAGCACCTGTTTGTCTTTGGTTTTCAACGCTGTTACAAGTTTTAAACCTTGCAATGAATGAAGCAATTGTAGTAAAAGGAATATTCAGGTTGTTAGAAATCATTCTGTAACTGTTCCCATCTTTACAAAGAGACAAAATATGTTGTTTTTGTGAAATAGTCAATTCTTTACCTTTAGGCATTATTAGAACCTTGTAATACTAGAAATTGCAGAATGCTCTGATAATGGCTAATAGCGTTTACTAGAATTACTGATAACATTACTGGAACATTCCAGAATATACTTTTTTCATAATTAATTGATTATTTTATTTTAATAATTGATTTGTACGAATACTTTTTTCACCAGTTAGAATTTTAAAAAATGCATTAATTTCTGTTAGAATAAGAATTAATTAAGTTTATTATTATTTTTTAATAGTATGTGTCTTTATACATAAAATGTGCCAAGATTTGTTTTATTTAAGGCTTTTACATTTATAAAAATACAATTTTTCAAGTGTACGAATATTTATTTCCCCTCACTATATGTATATATATATATATATAGCTAATGATAATGATGGTGACACATTTAGACAATAAAATGTTAATAGTAATTTGTAAGTGTTTTTTGAAGATATATAATTAGAAATGTGCAAAATGCAAAATTAGATTTTTACCTCCATTGCACCTTTGTAGTCTCCAAGATGAAAGAGGCAATAAGCAACCCAGAGATCAGTGTCAATATCTTTTTGGCCGCTGTTTCTATTAAACTGAAAAGACAAATATAAGCCCTTTATTTTTTATGTACACAAAGAGATACAACTTTTTCAAATGTGCATGGTCATTACACATAAAATAAAGATATCTTGAACATTCAGGCAGTTTAGATGAAAATAAATATAGTGTTTAATAAATTAATGGAACACCTATTCAAATAAGAGTATCCACTAAAAGTAACATTTAAAGTAAAGTGATAATATATATATATATAATATAAGCTTCATTAAAAACAACTGACAAGGTGCTACAGTTAAGCTTTTATTTAATTTTTCTCATGTTCATATAAGTTTTATGTCTAGAAAAGAAAATACTTCTACATGAAAAATTAAATAAAAAGCTTAACCACAGTAACTTGTCAGTCATATATAGTGAAACTTGTATAAAAGAGGGATTGCTGCACAAATACACAATTTACATATACACACACACACACATATATATATATATATATATAGATATAGATATAGATAACTAGACTCGTTTCGAAAAACACTCAAATTTTTGATTTGCTAATCAAATTAATCTTGAGGGAAAAAAAGGTTTTAAAAAAAGAAAGAGCTACAAACATAAACTTCTGTCGATCATAAATCGCACAGATGCAGGTCTGAAGCCCAAAGAAAAAAAACCAATACGAGTAAACAACTAACTAACAAAGTGCTCAATACAACCATAGAGCAGACCTAGATACACCTAGTGAGCCAGACAAACTTACCTAGGTTTCACCTAAATGGATCGTCAGGGAAGGTCAAGCTTGACTTTCCCTGACGATCAGTTTAGGTCAAACCTAGGTAGGTTTGTCTGGCTCACTAGGTGTATTTTGGTCCTAATTCATCAGATCTCCATTTTCATACAAAAATATTGGAGTCATCAAGACAAAAGTAGAATTAAGAACATTATAAAAAAATGCATAACACCAGTTGACAATAGCAAAAAAATTACATTAATTATTTATTACAAAAAATTTAAAACCTCTAACCTTATAGTGAAAAATAATAATTCACCTCTTAGAATGAAATTAAATAGGACAAATATTATTTACAAATTTAAATGCCTGTTAAGGAATTGTATTCCTGATCAATCAAAATTATATAGGCCATACAACATGTTTGACTCACTCTACATCTTTCTGACTATAGCTCAATTAGATCTCATTTAAATATTCATGGAGACCTACTGGATCCTATTCATAACATACTTGTTGACAACACTAATATAATAGCATCATTTACATGGAAGAAAAGGCTAAAAATAATGGGAGCCTTATTAATAAAAACAAAAAAACAACACTCAATAATATCAACTATGAACATGGATACAATATCTTAACCGTGTTTTGAAAATGAAAACATTATATAAATACATACATGCAACAAGCAATTTCTTATTTAACAGTTAAAATATTTCAACCTTGAAAATGGCTAAATGTATAGCCGAAAGCACTCAGAAAAAAAAAACATTCAGACAGTTTTTATATAATTTATCATCTGAAAAGAAAAAAATTATTAGATCACATGAGAAATTGTATAAAAAAACTAAATCAAAGCAACTTGTCTGTCATATTCAATGAAATATGCATGAAAGAAGGATTGCTGCCTAAATACACAAATATATGTGTGTGTGTGTGTGTGTGTGTGTGTGTGTGTGTATACAGATAAATCAGTAAATCTATAGCCTAATGATAAAACATTTTTACACAATTGTATTTTTAACAATTTCCTCCTTTATCAATACACTTAATTTAGAGGTGAATATTAATTACACAGACCAAAGTTCAACTAATATGAATTACTGACCCCCCCCACTTTATATATATATATATATATATATATATATATTGAACAATAAGAAAATAAAAAAATTAAAATCTTTAGACACACTGGGTTGTAGATTAATATTCTTTCGTTTTTTTATTATTATTCCATTTAGATTCCTCGACTAGTTTCAACCAAAATGGCCATCATTGGGAGGAGAAATATTTATTTATATATATATATATATATATATATATATATATATATAAAAGTGTACTGAACAATTACAAAAAAATTGACTATGAAACTCTGAAATAGGGGTGCTGAATATAACATCAATCAGCTAAGTGACAAATTTTATATTTGTATTAATCCTATATATAATATGGTGATTTATATGAAATCTTTATATTAAATTTGAGGACTTCTGTTAATCCACCCATCAATTCCTCTAATAAACTGACTAATCAAAACCAAAATTTTGGGTGAAATGCAAACAGGTAAGGGGGTACAATGCAGGTTTTTACAATTGGTTAGATTAGTACAATAAATTTTTATTAATTTAGGGGGAAAAATTAAAAGTTTTATTATTTAACATACAAAATACTCCCACTATTTAAAAAAAAAAATAATGATTAAAATAACAAATACTTATTTAATAAAAATGCAATATTGTTTCTTGTATATCTTTTAAGTTTTTATATTTCATTGATTGGTTTGTGAAATTGAACAAAATGTAGTGTTTGTAAATATTGACCAAAAATGTTAGAAATAACTTGAACAATTCTATATAACTGTGAATATTTCAATATGTATCAGTGTGTTGCAAAAAATTCTAGTATCTGAAAAAAATGTCTGAAAATTGGAATATGTGAGAATTAATTGGATGTTGAAAATTTTTATTTTCTTGTTGACGCTTTTTCACTCCTTTTATGATTTAAGGAGTAATTATCACCATGGTAACACTCTTGTTCCACATACTTGTACTTAATGTCAGTCAGCCAAACAATAAGAAAAAGAGGAATGAGAGAAAGTGAATGCAAAGTGAAAAGAGGAGGAGAGAGAAAATAAAAAAAGAAAAAAAATCAGGGGAAATGGAGTTTCAAATATTAAAACACAAATCTACAGTTCATTTTGATTTCATTCAAGTTGGAAAAAAACAAATTTGTTGTCTAAGTGTCAACAAGGATGTAGAGAAATTCTATAATTCGAGTGGAAGTTTTTTTTATTTGTCATAATTATTAGTAACAGGATTTTACAGATGATTCAGAAAGGATTTCCAAACTTTATGCGCTATTATTCAAATTTGTTGTTTGTCTCATCAATATTTATATACTGAGAAATATGAAAGATTGTGTTGTACTGAAAAAAAGAGAAAACAGTGGCTCTTGGGCCTTGTATTGGGAGAACATTAGTAAAAAAAAACCCAAAAAAAACAGAAGATTTGTTATGGCTTATCAACCCATTGCAGGTTATTTAAAGCCAGAAAATATTTTTAGATTGTAAGAATTTTTATTTTACTTTTATTTATTTATTTTTTTTTTTGAGATAATACTGATTTAGTGACGCAAGTCTTACTGATTAACTCATAACTGGGAAGAGGAAAAACGGTGGATTTGTACCTTTCCCAAGGGTATTTGTATGGTAGTGAATATAACAAACCCAACAGGAATTAGAACTCAGCTCTCTGATTATCAATTATGAGCCATTATCCATTACACCACCCACACATTCAAGCTTACAGCATCTGGTATTCCCAGTCACCCATCAAATTATTGAGCAGGCTCAACATTGCCTAACTTTGGTGATTGTACAGGAACTATAGAGAAAGAAAGAGAAACCATACAAAAAGTGTGAAAATGTTTTTTCTCAACCTGACCAAAAAGCTGTTCTAAGAAAAAAAAAAAAAAATTTTCTACTTGTGTAAAATTTAGTCAGAATGTTTATTTAATTTTTTTTTACATCAATAAAAAAAAAAAAATTAAATAAACATTCTTACATAGTAATATCAAGAATTACGAGTGAATGAGTAAAATCTGTACCTTTTGAAAAAAATGAACATGTACACAAATGGTTAAAATGCTTGCTTTCCAACCATGAGACCCAGGTTCAAATCTCATGATGGTCAAGTTTTCTCGTCATAATCTATCTCACACATTTACAAGTCTACCATTCATCCATGCATTGAATATTACTGTCATATCTGATCTGGTGCTTCTGATAGGTATTTAGAGACAAAATATAAAGAATCTGCAATGCTATCAGTTCTGACCAGACATTTCTGCTTCAGTTACTTTCCGTTTACCATAATGTAGCTTCTCTGTGGCTTTTTTCTAAAAATTTTCATGGTAGTTCTTCTGAGGAGCTTTCCTCTTTTATACCTTGACTTTACAAATTTAAGTGCAGTACTAGATTGGCAGCAAGGTCTCATCATTTTACAGTTGAAATGACAAGATAAGTTCTATGTTAACAGTTTCTTCTCTTGCACATCTCACTTGTGGAACTCTTTTCTAGCTTCTTGCTTTTGAGTCAAGTTTCAAGCCAGCTTCAATAATTTAAATGCAATGTCAGTTGTAATTTTGTCTTCTTAATTACTGTTCTTTTATTATTCTCTCCTTAATAATGGTTTTCTTTTTTTCATATTCTTTTACACTTGTTAACCCCTTGCATTTTAGTGGCTTTATTGGTTTTCTTGGGATGAAATGATTAAAAAATACAAATTGGTCAAGCAAGTAACTATCTGATGATATCAACTTGAGGGAGGTGATCCCAACAGGCGGGACCATTGGAAAGTGCCTGAAAAAAAAAAAAAAAAAAATAGTTGACCAAGCCTTGTGAGTGAAATTGGGTAGATGTAACTATTTAAAAGATTTGATGGTTGTGCTAGCACAAAGTCACAAGTCAACATGACCAAGGACATAAGCTTGGAAATGAGTAGCCAGCCATTACTTAAGGAAATAAAATATCTTCTCTTTAGAGTATAATAAGTAAAACTGTACATCATTTAGAACTTATGTACAACTAACTACAAAATATATTGTCTTCTTTTTTCTATATAGTAATTTTATAAAAGTTTGTAACACTGAATGCTAACTTTTCATTTTTCCTGGACCATATTTCTGACTAGCAGTAGAGCCCGGCGTTGCCCAGGGATGTAACAGTAAGAGATAGATCAAGTATCGAACATCATAAAGACTGAAAAATAAAATTGACAAAGATTATTGTTTAAGGTTGATGGA